AGACTGTTCTACAGACTTATGACAAGGACGAGATCAAAGTCTCTGCGGTTCGTGACGCTCTCTTGACGCATTTTGCTCAGAAGCAGTCTCAAAGCCAGAATCATGTGGCCAAGTTCAATACCAAGCGCAAACGCGATGACCCTTCGTTCACCAATCAGCAACAGGGCTCTGGCTCTGCACCCGATAAGGGTGATAAGGCTGATGGAAAGAAGAAGAACCGTCGAGGCAAGCGCAGTGGGAAGAACAAGGACAACAAGGGCAAGGGCAAGGCTGATCACAGTCATGTCCATGGAGTCTCCGAGATCACTGGCTCCCTCACTATCGGTTCGATCGCCTCGCTCACTCCGTCTATCCCTGCGCCGACGATCTCGCATGTCACGCACATCTCTCGCGATGGACCCAAAATCCGCGCGGTTCAAGAGAAGTCTCCTGTTAACAACAATGGGATTATTGACACCGAGTTCCAGAAGCCTACTCGTAAGGTCTTCGAGCTGGCCAAGAAGATGGATGTGACGGTGACCGCAGAACGCTTCCGGACTCTCGACAAAATCGTCAATGAGAAAGGAATGCTCCGTGAGGACGCAATCATGCGTTCTCCATCTCCGGTTGCTTCCGGCTCGAATCACATGCTGGATGATGGTCCTCCTGCCAAACGCAGTCGTATCGAGGAGATCCCCGACGTCGAGATGGCCACCGGCCAACAGAACGATCTTGATCTTCTGTTTGGAGATAGCGAGTTCGCCCAGGCTGAACCGGTCAATTGGGATGAGGTCGTCGACTTCAACACCCTTCTGGAGGAGATGGACGCTCCTTCCGCCGAAAGGCAAGTACCCTGCCTTCTTGGGCACATGCACAATTCTGATTGTTGCTCACAGCCAGAGCGCGTAATCACCGCCGCCCCGGGTTCTGTACTAAATTCGTTGATGATACGTTCGCATGATTTTTGTACCAATCTATTCTGTGTGCACTCCGATTTTGCTGCGTGCTCTAAGTGTAAGGGGAAACATCATCATCATGAATTAGGGCCTCTATGGCTTCTCGATTCTGGTGCATCTCTCCATGTGACATCGGAGATTAGTGATCTGGTCGGATATGAGAAGCTCTCAGATCCTATTGTTGCTCAGACCGCTGATAAGAACACACGTGTTGCCCTTATTGGTCGAGGAACAGCCTTCATCGATCATTACGTCACAAGGCATGGAGAAAAGACAATGGTGACTTCTCAGATATATCCAGTGTACCTAGTGCCAGGATTACATGGTCGTCTCATGTCTTTGGGCTCCTTACTCAAAGGAGGATCGCGCGTTCGTGGAGACGAATCGCGGATCAGCTTACATCGAGGGAAGTCCCCACTCTCGATCATGGAGTTTAGAACTCTAGGGAAGGACATTGCCTTGTACTTCCTGATGTCAAAGCCTAGCACGGCTGAGACAGTGCGATCCATGTCCACTGTTTACAAGGTGGATTATGAGATCATGCACCGGCGATTTGCACATCCGTCGAAAGACGTTTTACGTCAGGCAAAGAAGAATACCAAGGGCTTTCCAGAAGACCTAGTATTTCCCGAGGAAACCCGACCGTGTAAAGGATGCGCGCAAGGGAAAATGCACCAACGTGCCTTCCCGCCTTCCGAAAAACGAGCGGAGAATCCGTTTGATTTGATCCACTCGGATCTCAAACAATTTCCCACGGTGTCTTATCACAAGTACCGCTACTTCATGAGCTTCTTCGACGAAGCACTCTCCTATGGCTGGACAGTATGCCTTGCGCAGAAATCCGATGCCAAGCAGGCTATGCGCAATTTCATTGCGATGGTCAAGAACCAGTTCAATGTCACCATCAAAAAGTGGCATATTGACAATGGGGGAGAATTCATGGGGATGGGAATGGAAGAATTTCTCGCGGAACAAGGAATTCTAGTGGAGAAGGGTGCTCCATATGCTCACCAGCAGAATGGGCATGCCGAGCGCTTCAATCGTACGATCATGGATAAGGCAGAAGCCATGCGCTTCACTGCCTGTCTTCCTAATTCATATTGGGAATTCGCTATCAAACATGCGACACGGATCTACAATTTGACACCTATCAGGCGTCTAAAATGGAAAACTCCATTTGAAGCTCTTCACAAGGAAAAACCGGATGTTTCCCAACTCCGAGTCTTTGGGTGCGCTGCATATGTCTTTATCCCTGATGAGAAGCGCGCCAACAAGTTATCGCCCAAATCGGAGCTGATGACCTACTTGGGCATTCCTGATGGTGTGAAAGGATTTTTGTTCATGCGCACAAACAATTCCACGTTCGTCGCCACCAAGGCATTGTTCGACGAGGAGTTGTTCCCCCGCTGTCCTGACAGCAATCGACCACCCCACGTTCCTGTTGGAGAGGAATTTCCAGAACGTGATGACCCAGTGAATCCACAAGATCCACCACAGGTAGACGGAGAAGATTGGCTATATGGAGATAATCCTTTTCCATTTCCCATGCCATCTGATCCGGCTCCACCACCTCCCGTACAGGGAAATGATGATGGTGACGACGGTCATAATCGTCAGGACCCACCGCCAGAGCGTCGGGATGAACCTCAGAGGACTCGTAGAAGTAGAATTCCACGACCAAGTCGGGAAGCTTCACCAGCTCCTGAGCCTCGAAGGTCTTCACGCCAGCGGAATGTGCCTACACGTCCAGGAAACGTCTATGGGGAAAAGCGTACCCCTACGGATATAGTCCGTGACATTCAGAACAGCAGAGGATGGAAGCGGTATGTTGGTGAAGATAAGGGTAGCTCCCAATCTCAACCATCAACCGGTGCTGATGCAGGGGTTCCCGGCCCTAGCTCGCAACCAGATTCCTCAAACGCGGGTGCTTCTGATGATCTAGACGAGGATGCACGCATGGAGAAGCTATGCCGGGAAGGGGGAGTAGAGCTCATCACGGCGCTGCTGTCAAAAGCGGTTCCAAATGAGAACCTACCTGATACGTCCAAAATTCGCGATTGGACGTTCCGCGATATCAAGCGGTTGCCTTCTGAACAACAGAAAGGTTGGATTGATGCTTGCCGCGACGAGTTAGAGGCACTTCGTCAGCGCAAGGTCTATTCCCTTGTGGACCGCCCGAAAGGACGGAAGGTTATCAGATGTCGCTGGGTCTTTGACCAAAAATCTGATGGCCGAAAACGTGCCCGCCTAGTTGCCAAGGGTTTCAGTCAAGTCGAAGGTGTTGACTATGACGAGATATTCTCTCCTGTTGTCAGGTATGAGACGTTCCGGTTGGTCATGGCGCTTGCAGCGCTCAATGATTGGCATTGGTCTGGACTCGATGTCAGTAAGGCTTTTCTCTACGGAGAGCTTGACGAAGAGGTCTACATGGAACAACCCGAAGGCTTTGTGGCGAGAGGCCAAGAGCGCAAAGTCATGCGCCTGCACAAGGCAATCTATGGACTCAAACAAGCTGCTTTAGCATGGTGGAAAGCGCTGACCAAGTCCACGAAAGCCATGGGCTGGATCCGACTTACATCGGATGCCGGCGTGTTCTTCTACAAGGACTCTGATGGCAGCATAGCCGTCATAATAGTCTATGTGGATGATGCACTGTTCTTCTCCAAGAACAAGAAGCTCCTCGCCTTTCTCAAGGCTGAGTTCAACAAGCGATGGGAATGCCGCAATTCTGAAGATACTCCAGAGTTCTTGCGCGTGCGCCTCAGTAGAGTAGGATCTTCGATCAAGATTGATCAGATTCCTTATCTCGACAAGGTGCTAGAGCGCTTTGGGATGCAGAACGCCAAGTTCGCAGCGACCCCTCTACCGGCTGGATATGTTCCAATGCCAAATGAGGATGAAGTCGATCCAGAGCTCAGGAAGAAATTCCAATCAGTCATTGGATCTCTTCTCTTCATCATGCTAGGCACACGTCCTGACATTGCATTTGCTGTGACCAAATTGTCACAATTTGCTGCCAATCCGTCCCAAGACCACCTCCATAAAGCGCTGTATATCTGTCGCTATTTGGCTGGTACTAGGAATTATTCGCTCATTTTCAATGGTGCGACGGATAGAGGGCTCATTGCATTTAGCGATTCAGACTGGGCTGCTGATCCGATCAAGAGGAGGTCTACCACTGGTTTCTTCACGAAATTGGCAGATGGGATTATTTGCTGGCAGTCTAGACTTCAGCGCACAGTCGCGCAGTCTTCGACCGAAGCAGAGTACATGGCGATTTCAGATTGTAGTCGCCAGGTGATGTGGCTGAAGAGCGTCCTTTCGGAACTCCAGTTCAAACTCACCATCCCAGTACCCATTTGCGGTGACAATCAGGGTGCACTCTTCAGTGGCAGCAATGCCTACCGAGACCGCAGGATGAAACACATAGACATCCGCTATCACTACATTCGTGAGCGAGTCGAGGAAGAAGAGGTTGAACTGTTCTTTATTCCGGGCAGTGAGAATCCTGCAGATATGTTCACCAAGAACCTAGGACGCGTCAAGTTCGAGAAGTTCAGGTCTCAACTAGGACTTGAGTTCAACTCGTCCTGAAGGAATGGCCGATGAAGATTTCGCTTTCAAACACTATCCCGTGGTTTTCAGCGTGGGGGAGTGTTGATCAAATGATGATCTTATCGTCTGCCAGATGGGTGTCGTGATACACATCTATGACTCCATCACGTGTCATCTAGAGTCATGTCGACTCGTCCTAAATAGACACAAATAGCCCCCTGTATTGTATATAAGGAGGGCTCTATTACCCTTTAATGACAAGTCTCTTGACTACTCCCGCATAGTGCCCACACTAAGCTCTCACTCACACAGGTGAGCTGCTAGACGCTCTCCCCAGTGCTCAACATTTGGGTTTACTTTCATAGTAGATTCACTTGTGAGTGCGCCTTCAGCATTTCAGCGGGTGTGGGTGCAATTGATTTTCATCAGGACCGGTTCGTTGGCAGCCGGCCGGGTCAGAGCGGGTGTGGGCGCCGCTGGTGCTGCCTGGGGACAGAACTGGGGAGGTGGTCATGGTGTGGAGTGCCCATACGATGCTTTGCGCAGCTGATCACACAGAGCGTTCACCTTTATGTTGACACACCAGTCCTTGAAGGCACCATACACCTTGGGCAGAGGGACACCAGTGTTGTAGAGGTGACTGGTGATCTTGCTACTGAGTCCGTGTTCAAGGAACTCCATGAGGATGTTGTCTTGATCCCCCTTCTTGTACTCGCCCTTGTTGTTGGTGGTGGTGACCACATTATACCCTGCATCCGCAGCCAACATCTCGAAGTCAGAGATATAATCTGTGAAGGATTGTTTGTTCTGACGCAAGGCCATGAGTTGAGCAGCGGTGACTTGCTCCATGTTGGAGTCCCCAAAAGCCCTCTGAAGCTCCTCCAAGAAGGTCGCCGAGGTGACCCCAGCCTTTACTCCATTAAGGCTCTCCAAGTTGCACTGCTTCCAGTTCATCACCCATCTCGAGGCAGCGCAGCTTGTGCCAGCCTCGTTGCGGAGGTAGGAGAGGATGAAGAGGATTTTGGTTTCATCCATTGAGAATTCTGACCGGTATGCACCAATTTAGGTGGTGCACGAGTCCACAAAGCCCATGTATTTGGTCTTGTCCCCGTCAAAATATGGGGGTTGGCAGCAAGAGTGATGCGGTGGTGTGCTAACATGGTAGGAGCAGGCGTGGTAGGTGGGGGCGAGGGTGGTTGTTTGGAGGGTAACTTGTCAAGGTCGGGGATCTCGTCTTCAGGCGGCGGGAGGGCAAGGTAGGGATTGGAGGGCCCCGGTTGGCTTTGATACGCCAGATCGGGCGACGATGGTAGGATGGGGGGAGGAGACAGACTCCCAGACGACGATGGGAATCGGAACAAAATGGTGGATTTGTGTGCTGTACAAGCACTCGAGGAAGGGTTCTTTTGCTAGCAAAAAGATCCCGGGCCTAGCTCTTCATGTGCCCAATGATCCCGAGGTGCGTTTTCCCAAAGGTCTCCGCAGCACTCCTTGTAGCTACTGTAAGGCTTGGGTCGGGCTCAATGTTACCCATGGCCTGGTGCTGTTTGCTCAAGATAAACCCTTCACTGTGATTGTAGGGGACAACTAGATGATTTGATAAAAGGGTGAGTTGGTTTGATAAGGGTTTAAGAGGATATAGCAGGCGTAGCAGTGAGGGATGCAGAGGTAAGAGATATGAGGTAGGAGGGTATGAGAGAAGTCTTCGAATTATGTGACAATCAACAAGAAATAATGTTGAAAAGAGAAGTGAATTCAAAGACTGGAGAATACAACCAAGTAGCTACAGTATTTATACCCAAATCCAGTCTGAGTCATATCTACAACTAATGAGTCATAAGGCTATGTACCACATGGAGCACTGGTCATGGGTTGTAGTAGAACCTTCTGGAGCATATGTTGCGCAGCCTTGAATCAATAAAGATAATCCCTGGAACCCCTAGCCCGGACCGTCTGATGCCGTGATCCATGATAAGATAACCCGTGCCAAGATAAGATAAGATGGTCAATGATAAGATGAAAAAGGGCTGAATTATGACAAGGAGGAGTCTGGATAGATGCACAGACCATGGCAGGCGATGCTGTGCAAGTTGAACAGTCCACAGAGCCCATGCTCAGTAGGGCCTGCCCAAAACTGGCCCAGGACAGCTGTAAGGGCAACTCCTGCCAGCCCGAAGGAAGAGAGCACACAGCACACAACAACCTCACATGAGTCTGAGCACAGAGGGGGATCCTTAGAGACTATCAAATACAAGGGAGGTATACTACTCACCTGAGCACAGAGGGGGATCCTTAGAGAACGGTTCAAGGATCCATGTGCCCAGGTGTCACACTATATAGTCAGCTGTGACAAGTGACTGATGATGATGGGATATCACTGCCATGGAACAATGGCAGATGACAAGTAGATAATGACAAACCCAGATAAGATAGTGAGTGGCTCAGAGGGGCCAGTGATGGCCAGCTCCTGAGACACCAACAGTGGAAGGCCACACTGGAGGAGCCCAGTGGCCAGGCCAGTGCCGGGCCGGCCAGTGGAGGCATCGGAGGCGAGGACCAATGCCCGACTGGGAAGAGGGGTGGTACGGATGAGCGCAAGGCATCTGGTACGAGCCTGTACGGCAGTAGACCACATCCGCGGGAAGAAGGCCGAAGTAGAGGGGGAGGAGTGCGTACGGCAGTAGCACTCCCTGGTGCAAGGAATCGGGCTTGGCTAGACCGCTTGCGGGGATTCGAGGGAGATGGCCAGGGGAAGAAGGGAGAGGGCGGATGTCGGCATGGATGGAGGTGAGGATCGGAGGAGGAGGAGGAGGCTGGGTGATCGACAGGTGAGCAGGCACGGGTCGGCAGAGAGGGCGCAGCGGGTCACGTGCATGGTCACGTGCCCAAGGAGCGCGGCGTCCCCTGACAACAGCATGCAGCAGAGGCATCCACACTGCAATGCAGAGCATCCGCACAGCCCAAGCACTGAATTGGTTTAACTGCCATTCATTGTTTGCTGCATACAGAGGAGCTTGAAGGAGCTGGGATCATTTGGAAGCACATACATCTGCTACAGAAGGCTCAAGTCTACAGTGGAGCAATGCATAGAGGCTATAAATGAAATAATGAAAGAACAAGAAATGCAGAGGGCTCCTCACTAGATCAGAGTCACATGATACAGACTGCAGACAACCTGCATGATGGGATCACAGTGATCACAGAGACAGCTGGGTGCAGATGGATCCACAGCTTGTTTAGGGCAAGTTGCGGAGGGATCTGCAGCTGCTTATAGGGCAAGATGTGGATGCTTGGCACCCATTTGTGGAGCTTTGGTGCAGAGGATGGCCAAAAGTGCAGAGGGTACCCCCCCTACTAGGGGGTCAAAATGGGTCAATTTTACCCCCCTAGGAGGGGGGTACCCTCCGTGGCGGATGTTCCTTATGTGGTCACATGCATAGTCACATGCCCAAGGAGTGTGGCATCCCCTGACACTGACATCACATGTGTCTACTGCCCATTACCGCCTGCAAATTATGCATGTTACCACCCTTACCACCCATCTACTGCCCATGTTACCATTTTACAACCCTATTACTGCCCAACTACCACTGTTTACCAGTATTTTACTGCCTGAGGCTCAAAACATGTTGAGTTGTGCAGACTCATTTTTAAGTGTTTTGGAACAAGGTTTCAAGCAACTTATACATATTTCACAGGTCTATTCATGTGTGTATTCAATAAGCCCATGCACCTTGTAGCACCTCTTTTTTGTGATTGATTTACTGCCAATTACTGCCCTAGACCAATAAACCAGTATGGGTGGTAGCTCAGCAGAAAAATCTTGTTGCTGCACAACAAGTAGTTTAGTTGTTTGTGATTTGGGCTTTACTGACTCTCCCATTGGCTCAGCAGTCCCAGGCAATTTGATAGTATGTGAATGGACCTACATAGAACTCATCATACCCTCAATATGACATTCCAAGTGCTTGTAAAGATCTGCCCTCCCAATATTGCTCTCAGTGTAACATCTGATGCTCTGTTGAATATATTTGATTGATGTCAACTGTTGCCAAGCTGTCCGCACATTTGTTCCTTGTTTTTGCATAGTATATAGCAGCTACTACATTTATCAGTTGAGTCTTCCCCATCTACGAAGGCCAGACTAGGATTTCCCATCAGAGTCCCGATTTCTCTTCAGCAAAATGACATTGGCACCCGCCTGCTACAGACTCCGGGTGTGCTTCCCGGGGATAGAATTACGGCCTTAGTTCCGCCACAATCATATCGAGCCAGCATATTCAACAGCTGCCACCGCCCGTCACGTTTGACATGTTCAACGGCCGTAGGCAAGTAGATAGCCTTGCGAAGTTGCAACTTGAGGCTGCCCAACCTGAAGCTGCTATAAATGCATCGTTCATGATCGGATCAATACGCATGCTACTACGCCGTCGGTGACCATGTCATCTCAGGACGGTAACCCGTACCGAGCTTTGACCGGTATCCCGTGCGAGAATCGTCTTTCGGAATCATGTGCGCATCCGAGTCCCTTGGCAGCGTTACGAGGCCGGTCTCATGGACCGTCAGTCGTTCGCCGAGGAACCCAAGTAAAGCCTACGTTTCACCGCACGCTATTAGAGGATGGGAGATCCGCGTTCGAAGCCGACCTTCCCCGGCTCCCATACCTCATGAGCGTCGCCCACTTCCCGACGTTCACCTCGCCCGCGGCGGACATCACGGCACGCACCCGACGCTCCTCGCTGGTGTATGCCGTCCTGTACGAACTGGCCCTTACGAGCGTTCTCGCGTTCTCGACGCTGCTCGGGATCCTCGCACTCGTCCGATTTGCGCTTGGCGTGCTCCTATTCAAATGCGCCCAGCTCCCGAGCGAGTGCTACTACTGCACTAGTCTCATTCCCACGGCGTCCCTCCGATTCGCCGCAGCCCTCGCGCATACGTCGCCGCTATCGGTGCTGATCGCCACCTCGCTGTGCACGGGAGTTGTGTTCGCCGGGGCGGAACTTGTTGCTATGGCTTTGGGGCGAGATGGGTGGTCAATGTGGCCACGAGGTTCGGACGACGATCCCGCGGAGGACGAGGACGAGGACGAAGACGAGGACGAAGAGAAGAGTATCGGGTTGCCGAGGAGGTGCGATCTCTCGTTTCTCAGTTGGCCAACACTCATCTTGGAGTTTAGTCCATGAACTGACGTCTGTTAAGATAAGACTGTACTCGCTGACTGTTCCAATGCATGCATGTATCATCTGAACTGAGCAGGCGCGATATCGATTTCACCAGTTGCATCGGAAATTAGAAACACCGACCACAGGCAGCGGACGACGAAAAAGACTGATTGAGAAGGGTCGAAGAACTCGAGCGGTATCTCCTCAATCGGCAACTGCGGATCGGAAACTGTCGAGGTGACATCGAGTCATGTGCACATTCCAGCGGTCATGGCGTATGGTCACGTCAGATTCAGATGCGGACTCTTGGGACATCCTGGTCTTCTGGAAAGCCGACTTGGCTGCCAGCCCGTGTTCTTCGTACTTCGCGGCGTCCGACGACTCGCCAACTGACATGCAAGGTATATTCATCTGCTTCGCCGACTCCTCCTTGTCCGAACCATCGTGCGAAAAGTCGAAAAGTGCGGCCTGCTCTCCTTCGTCCTTCACAACAAGGCCATGCAGTGACTAGGCACAGATCACTGGGATTCCTTGGGGGCATAAATGACAGGCTGATGGCCGCAGCAGTCTTCGGGCGCGTCGTATTATCGAACCCGACTTTGCAGTGCTTCGGCTTCGTTGAGAGATCCGCGTTCGCCTCCCTGAAGCACGCTTGTATGCGCGCCTGTGCCACGGGTGGGAACAGGCGTTGAGGTCCACCGGGTGTGCCAGGTAGGTCGGGGATGTGCTCCGCTGTGCGCAGGCAGACGCTGATCATTGTACCGAGCGGACGAGCGACTGCAGATGGATGGGGTGCTGCGGTACGTCCAGAGGGAGGATGACCTGGCACCATCGTCTTCTCATTGCCATCGCTCCCCGCACCCGTCGGCTGGCGCCTTCTCAAAGATGGCAGACGCCAAAATTTTGCGCAACTGGGCTCCTCGCCAAAGTCCATCGTCTGCGCAATGTTGGGCCCCTGCCAGGAGATGCATCGAGTCTCTTCAGCACGGAAGCGTGCAAAGCGATGGCTTTGGAAAACCTGGTCTTCACATCTGGCCCTTCTTCGGCAGCCGGTGATGCAAACGAAGTGGGGTGAGGAATGTGCGTTATTTCAGTGCAGTGTTGCAGGCGGTCGGCAGGGTCGCGGTAAACGAGCCCAGCGTTGGCATCCGCGGCCCTTTCGGCAAGGTCGCAGCGGCGGAGCTGAAGAGCGGCGCAAGTGACCTCGACGAGCTGCAGAAGCGTTAATTCGCAAAGCCGAGCGATTGCCCCTCGTCTGCAGAAAACTTGAGATGCTTTGAGTGGCGAGGGGGGAAACGGACGCACGGCCGGCGACGCAATCCGCTGGTATTCGTTCCTCATCTCCTGTCCCTCGGCGAAGAGCTGGGGTGCAGGTCCCTATTGATGGCGGTCCTTGAGAGATAAGTACTGAGCATAGAAATGAAGAAGCCACCACCTGGGGTATGCACGCCCTGCATGTCCAATAAAGGCCCCCGTCGCGTCGACAAGACCGTACGCACTGCCGGCGTGGTTTTAAAGAAAGTCTGCGTGCATCCTATCAAGAGTATGGCCCAGGCGCGTGCGGGAAAATCGGGATGCCCTGCATGATCGTTGCGATGGAACGGTGAGGACGGCGCGTGGTTATGAGCTGCAGAGCCCGCGCCCAGGCGACGGTGGGGTGGGATAGCGGTCAGAGTTCTGGAAAGGGTGCATATCAGCATGGCTGCCATGGATCTCTCTCAGGTCGAGGAGGACGGGAACTTGGAAGCAGAGTACGTATGAGGGAGTCACAAATTGTCACAGGATGCGCGGGATGGATGGATGGATTAACCGCAAAAGGTCTCGGTGCGATTCTGGCGTGCCCATCCCCGTTGCGCAGCACGTCACAATTTTCTGGTTTTGGTTTGCAAATAATTCCGCTTTCCAGGACTGGACTCATCAACTTGTGTATCTACCGGGACATGGTAAATTCCGGACTTGATGACTGGAAGTCTCATGGACGCCTTTTCTTGGCGATTCCCCAAAACCAGTCAGTCTGAGTGAAGCTGGGTCTGCTCGGATCAGAAACTCTTTTTGTATAAAAGTACTTACGAGATTGTTCTGAATGGGGGAAGAATTCGCGCACGCTGCCCGATCTCATTTGGCTTATGGCCGTCTTACAGCGCTTCAGTGACAAGCTGGGTTTGTTCGGCCATGCTGCGCAGATCGCTCGGGATTCATTTTCTGCAACCCGCGACTGACCATATGTAGATCATTATGCACGTAGCTAGAAGTCCTACTGGCGTTTCCTTGGGACAAGATAATCGTCGCATTCGTGTGCTCTCAGAGAGCCGGCCCTTGCTCCCTGCGTCAAATTCTCGTAAATCAAAAATTGTGGCCGGTGTGTTTTACACGTGACATGTCAGTCATTGCGGTTATCTCCAAGTGACAAACCTCAATGTAGATGAGACGAACTCGCTGCTGACAGCAGAGAAGATTTCATAGATAAGTGTTTCGATATGTGTCAATTTCCGCGCTTCACTTCAAGTATCCTTCTGTCAGGAGTGCTTGCCTATCTTCTGCATCGTGATCTCAAGCAAAAAACGTGAGGAAACGCTGTGTTCTTGACAGGCTTGTGTCGCACAACGCTTCTCTCTCTCATGTGAGACTCGCCACTTTCTCTGCTGGAGATAACGTAAAAATACATGGTCCGCGCTGGCCGGTCATGTTGAACATTTGCTTGGTGCACTGCGTCTGATTTCCGACGATACTCCGTAGAGTCAGAACATAGCCTGATCGTGGGCAATCAGGACAATGATCCTTATGCGTTATTTACACGGCTGATGTACACTCAGCGCCTAAAGATGAAGTGGGAAACTATCTAGCATTCGCCTGTCCTCGTCTGAAACTGTGCTGTTAGGTCCCTGTGCAGGCGACACGCGGGCAGGAGGCGGATATGTATACATTGGTCTAGCAGGGTCGTGGAATGGAAGGGTGGAGATCGGCGGAAGAACGACTCTCTGCGCGGCGGAGTCTCTGACTGGAGGTAATCCTCGCATAACGTTATCTGCAAGAGAACCCATACTCCGGCTCCTGGAGGATTCGGCGAACGTGCTCGCAACGGATCGCAGATTTCCTTCAGAAGCGCTGAGAACATGACTGCCTTCGGCGCTACGATTCCTTGCCAGCGAGAACACGCCCGGCGGGACCCGGATCGCCTGCAAATCCGGATAGTGATCCACCGTTGGATGAATAGCACGCTCGGACCACTTTGCTCGATCAGCTTGGCAAATTCGACACCGGAATAGTTGTACGCACGATGCTGTAGGCCACGACATGCCATTTTCGAGAAAGATCGCCGGGACCTTGCACGAAAAAGCTGTAACTCTCCTTGGTCAGCCCATCGGACTTGGATTGTCGCTGGTTCCGGCTCGGAGGTGGGACCGATAGCCCCGGGTTGACGATCCTCTGCACACTGATGAGAGAAATTAACAACGGATGAGTCCGGGCCGCGCTCAGATAGTCCGCACCGTCGTTGGGCTTTGGCTTCCCGTTCCTCCTCCGTGATCTCCACCTTTTCCTCGTACAGCAGGCATTCACCCAGCACGCGACTCTGGGACCTGCAACGGGGTTAACGGAGATATCATGGGTCGGCAAGAGACTCACCATTTGCGACCATCCGTCCAGCGCACCAGACCGCCCTCTTGTGCGGATTCCTCCCAAACATACACTCTCCCAGCGCCCACCTGCTCCCGGTCTTCGATCGAGAGGCGGTGGGTGATCAGTGGAAGCATCCCTCGACGGACGGCTTCGACTACAACCAGCGCGTCGGAAACATTACGGATATCTGGAGGGTAGGTATTCACGCAACACTCAGAACGCTGTAGTTGCCGACTCACGAAGCGCGGGATGTGTGAGGTCCTGAAGCAATTGCTCGGGACTGGAGTTGGTTCGTAACCCTCCTCGTGTGCTATGGCGAGTTTGATTTCGTTGAGACATTTTCCTGGAGCCGTTGGGTAAGCTGGGAGGATAAGACGGGGACTATAGAAGATGAGGGGAGATGTGCAAGCGCGCTGTGCTTGACCCCGGGCTTTATAATCCAGAGTCATTCACGGCATGAGAAATGAGAGTAATGTCTGATCAGCGGTCCACTGAATGTCAACGTTCCTATCAACGTTGTCGTAAAATGGCTACCAGCGAGACGGCGGAAATGTACGCTCGCTCCCGCATCGATGAGCGATGCAGCTCGTGCTGTTCTCGATGCCGTTGTCTGACAGGAAGACTCACCATGAGTAGGAAGCTGTTCGCACTGCAGGTGTTTCCCGCGCATGTTATATGTGTGCACCACTGCCGGACCGCCCAGTTCCGTTTACATAATGCTCCCCCTGTCGAGATCGTCGAGAATAACGGTCGGAAAGCGGCGAGGTCCTAGCGAGCGGGCATCATTGAGTATGAATCCACCTGGGAGCAGAAATTACACATGCACCAGACCGACAGGCTCGATTTTCGCTTGAAGGTTATCACTCCATCTATCAGATCCTGCAAACGTCAAAAAAAAGCCTGGAACTCTTTAGACAAGGGACGGCCAACGCCAACTCACCGGATCGGGCAGTCTAGCTCCGTTGGATACAGTGTTGGTGGCGCAAAAGCCGCCTAAAGACAAACGAGATTCGCATGAGGCGGGGAAGATGCACGGGTGGGAGCGGAAACGTGTGGGACCCAGTCATCCCTAGTCATTCATCGAACTGCATCCAGGGCAGGGGTCCGTCCCCACGGCTATGGCATCGCCCCCGAGACGGAAATAGTTTGCGCAGAAGAGGGGGGCGGGGATCAAGAGGGCGAAGGAAAGAACTTGGATGTGGATCAAACCGATACGATCCGGATTCGACATGCTTGATATCCGTGGACCGATGACAGGCGTCTCACGTGTGTTCATAGCTGCCCTTGTCACCGACCTGGACTGAAAAAGCGATAAGCTAAGCGTGGGCCAGAGACGGAGGCGGCTTTTAATTATCACCTGCCCCGGGCACGGAATCCGCATTGCAATGAAAAGCTCCGATCTGTCGCCGTCGGCTTGGCGGTGATTGGAAAAACAAGGCCCGAGACAGATGCTAGCGACAAAAATGAGTGGACCACGCGGTGCTTTCTTCGAGAGGGTGATCAGCGAAATGATAGCAGCGCAGCGAAGATTTCGTACTTACGAGCAGTTCTAACGGCACCCAGAAAACAGACAGATCGCATGCTATGTCATTGAACAATCACGGCCGCCGCTTCGAATTGCTATCGATTGGATCAAAGTCGACCCGCTTAGCTGTCTTTACGTCTTCCGGGCCGTGCTGGTTAAAAATATTGCAGATTCCGGGTTGAGAGTCGCGGTCCGTGCGGAGTTACAGTACGAGCTCCATGAGACTGGCAGAGCCGAGGATGTGATCTGCGTTCACCACTTCAACGAACTCGCGAAAATCAGTGATTTGCTAGCATGCGCGCTTGTGCTCCTCGTGGTTGGCGCTGATCCTGCTGGTGACCGGCTGTCCAACATTCCATACTTCAATTTCAGTCAGAGTATCTACCAGAGCAGAGAGATCAAGAATCATGATCTGACGTATCTCCACCGGTAAAGTCCCGGCCCGGTCGGATCTGCACGTGCAACGGCTGAAAAAATAGTTGACGATTCCGTCCCTGTCTGCTCAGTCCTGATGACAACGACCCTGTAAGCGACTCATTCTCCCTGCATACAGCCCGACGAGTTCAACCCTACGTGTCGCTCAAGTCCAGGCAACGTCAATTCCCGTCCAGGGATCCATCTAGGCGCGGTTCTGATTTTTAGGTGTGAGCGCGACGTCCCGGTCGCGGACATATGATAGGCGCTTTTTACGGGCTCGCCACGCCGCATACAATGGCTCCTTTGCTGGCACCTGCTCTGAAAGTCCCAAAGGGAGCACGTTGTTTACACGCCAAACATCGGCTGAAAGACGACAAAGGCGGGTGGACAATGGGATTGTGATGCGACTTGGTCGACGATGGGGCCTTTCTGCGAGCTGGTTGCGTGTAGAGTCGAGGACAGAGGCGGCTTTGTCGTTTCTCGTCGATATAAGCCTACGATGAGGCGTTGACGAGGAGCAACGACCCAGCCGCCACCGCTTCCTCAAAAAACCCTAACCAATGACGCAAGCGCACTGCGAATCCCACGTGCGAGTGGGTGATTCGGTTGTAAATCCTTTCACACGCATCTGATCCAACTGCAGTGGACAGCACCGTTCCAGGCTGCGACTCAGATCGACTGCCGGCTGCCAGATTACTGGCACTCCGACCACCACGCGGTGTTGATCAACCGGCCTGCGGACTGGAAGACGAGGGGCTACTCCTCTATCTCCTTTCGTTCCAGCGGCGCCGGCTCGTGTTCTCTCGGTGTCGCATTGCTTAATCTGGAGAACGGACTGGGAACCGCGCATGGCGAGCAGTGCGCTGCGGAGTGCTTGCCCGCCGGGCTCGTCGCCGAAAGAACAGTGAAGCTGATGATCGAGGTACGCCACATACCGCTCGAAACAGTCGTTGCTCAATATCATGCTAAATATATGACAGTGGCCCGGGTATCGCGCACGACTCTATCCGCTCGATATGGCAGACGCATCGACTGGCCGCTATATGACTCGCCGCCAACTTGGAGAACAGATCACCCGTTTGTGGAAGGACTTCGCGAACCGCAACGTCTGTTGTCTACCCGCTTCGTCCCTGATACGCCCGCTCATTGCACCTCGATTACAGCGCCACGAGACACCCAGCTCCCAGCAACTTCACCTCGCGCTCAACACGAACGGGGTCATTTACGACCAAGTTCGGCTGGTGGAACTGTTCACGGACGACGGAACCCTCTTTCGTCTGGTATATGGTGTCGTGGCAAACTATCTGCATTGCTGATTGGATAGGGACGGCTTTTTCCGATGCGGTCATTGTAGCTCTAGGATCTTGTAGTATCACGCTGTCAAGCGACCTACTTATTATACGTACACTAGGACTTTACAACAATAGGACAGACTAATTGCAGCCGCGTGTGCTCTTGTGTACTCACGTCAGACCACAAAAGTGCCGACGACGATCCGTGGATATTCTTTCTTGATCGGAGGGTGGTGATCGAGTCCGCCACGCTTCCAACATGGAGGGTCTGATTATGATCCTCCCCCCCTCCGACGCCGGCCCGCGGAGTTCTCGGGACGATTTCGAGCGAGATATTGCGCGCATGCACCGGATCTTATGGGGCGGAAAGCACGTTATGGAAGTATCGCACCAGCGCATGGTAACGCAGAAGTAGCGAGAGTATGGAGGCCGGGAACTATATGCTGATAAACGGAGGACGTATCACTGATACGCGATAGTTTGCCGACATAGGATCAATTTCATGATGCGCTCCATGTCATGATGCGCCTATCTGGACGGCTGAAAACGTTATACTAATAACCGATGTCTGAATCGTGGATGGCCGCTCGGCAGATATTGATCAGATGATTGACGCAATGATCAAGACCCCAGGTAGCCGACTATCGCAATATCGCAACATCGTAATATTCGAAAAGCGCAACATTCGAGATAGGATCAGCGGCCGGGTCGCCGGCGCGAGCAGGCTCGTCGCAAGTCCGGACTCCCAGGCGACATTCCAGGGCAGCGGTTCGTACGTCGTGTTCGACTGGGGAAGGAGGTGCGCGGCCTCCCTGATACAGCGCCGTCGAGGGTCAATTCACACACCCATACTGTAGCTTGGGGGGATCCTGTCGCTGACGATCAACAACGCGACGGCCCAGTCGCAGTTCTCACTGTCGTTCACCGAGTCCGCGGAGTTCATCAGCCCGCTCAAGTTGGACGACTCGTGCCAGCCCGCACGGCTGCAGAACTGGGACAGAATCCAGACGTTCCACGTGCCGCGAGCCACGGGGCTGCTGACGCAGACCGTGGGACAGCAGCGCGGCGGGTTCCGCTTCCTGACGATTGTGAGTGCGAGCGCGGACCCGCTGACGATCTCGAACATCTCGCTGGCGATCACGTTCATGCCCCACTGGGATGATCTCAGGGCGTACCCGGGCTACTTCTTTGCACCTGACCCCGGGTTCCACGACATCGACTGCCTCACGAAGATCTGGTACGCCGGTGCGTCATCGCCTGTTTGCTGGCTGATGTGGCAGAGCGTGGCGTGGGTGGGGGCTGACCGCTAGCAGGCACTATAGGGTGCAGACCAACACAATCCCTCCCCACACGGCGCGACAGGAGCCGTGCCCAGCAGGAGGTTCGTGTCGGCGTGGATCTGAATTTTGGACTCAAACTGTGCGATCACATTTGTAGGTGGCTGGTCCAACGATGCCTTGGGAGGAGCTGCCACTGGGCCTATCCTCGTCGATGGTGCAAAACGCGACAGGTGAGGAATGGTCGGTCGCGATCTGTGTGTGCAATCCCTGCTGATGACATTGGTACTGTCAGGAACATCTGGCCAGGTAACCCCTCATGCTCATGGACGCGATCTAACCCTCGGACTCATGCGACGGATCAGGCGACTGCGGCATCTCCACACACACGGAGCTCGTCGCGCTGAGCGACATGGAGCCGACCAAGAACTCGTTGATGGTGATGTTCCGCACGCAAAACCTGACGACTGGCGCGCTGCAGTACTCCGGGCCGCCGCTGAACAACCAGGGAAGCGACACGTACATCTCGTGGTCGCTCATTGGGACGCACAACTACTTCCTGTACACGGGCGACCTCGATTTCATCAAGTCTGTCTGGGCGAACTACACCAAGGCGGTTGGCTTCCTTGAGGGCCAGGTGGACTTGACCGGCCTGATGAACGTCTCGTCTGCGCTCTCGAACGACTGGGGCAGGGCCAGCGGCGCCGGACACAACTCTGCGGCAAACGCGTTGCTTTATCGCGTGAGGATTGATTTCTGTCTCTCGCATCATGTATCCGCGCTCATCAAGCTCGTAGACGCTCGTCACCACGGCGGACCTGGCGACGCATCTCGGCAATGTCTCCCTCCCCGCCACATACCTCGCCAACGCGACCAAGATCAAAACTGCGTTCAACAGCCTGCTGTGGGACGCCGCGGCGGGCCGGTTCCGCAGCAACGACCTGCCGAGGAGCATCCACCCGCAGGACGGCAACGCGCTCGCGGTCCTGTACAACCTCACGACATCGGACGCACAGAACAAGGCCGTGAGCGCCGGGCTGATGAAGTTCTGGACGCCCATCAGGCCGTGGCTTCGAGGTGCGTGTTGCGCTGGTGGTTTGTGGTTTGCGTGTCACCTGCGCGACAGATCCAAGCGCATTTTGTGGCCGGCAAGGGCGAGCGGGCAATTGATCTGATCGAGCGCGAGTGGGGGTACATGCTGGAAACCAACTTGAGTGTCAAGTCGCCGCTGCTAGAGGGCTTCTCGGCCAACGGATCGCTCGGGTGCGTGTCGTATCAATCAGCTGCGGCAAGCTGTTGGTCCTGATCTGTACGCATGGTTCTCGGATGAGGAAGACTCCCGCGAAAATGATTAGTGAATTACAGTAATTACATGCTCACTACGCTATCTCGAATATTACACTATCTTGAATGTTGCGCTTTTCGAATATTACGATGTTGCGATATTGCGATAGTCGGCTACCTGGGGTCTTGATCATTGCGTCAATCATCTGATCAATATCTGCCGAGCGGCCATCCACGATTCAGACATCGGTCATTAGTATAACGTTTTCAGCCGTCCAGATAGAGCGCATCATGACATGGAGCGCATCATGAAATTGATCCTATGTCGGCAAACTATCGCGTATCAGTGATACGTCCTCCGTTTATCAGCATATAGTTCCCGGCCTCCATACGAGAGGATCGTCGCTCCGGGGCATTTCAGCGTCCGAGACGGCCCGGCGCCACCCGGATAGGTATGAGTCATATATGGGCCTGGCCGGGAGCCACCGCTCGAGCCCGCTCACCAAATCCAAAACGGCCTTGTCTGTCCGTCTCGAGGCCGGTCGGTCCAAGCGTCCCGCGGAATTAGCCTTTGAACATCGTGGGTAAGCCGGTCGATGTGATCAATAGAATGACCCGGTGTGACACAGGAGCCCGATATCTGTGCTGCTTATCTTGCCCTTCGACAGAATGGACGACAGGACTGGGGCTGCGATGACAGAGCCATGAAAAGAAGTATGAGAACTGTGCGGGAGACGACTCGCGAACAGCCGGCTCAGTCTATCTATATGCACCAATGGTGGGGTACCTGTGACATATCGTGACCCTGGCCGTCTCACTGTCAGCAGAATTGAGCATCTCGTCCGATGCTGTCGGTATCGTTCCTGTCTCCCATGCTCGAGACTGCAGTTCCCGAGCAGGCGCTAAAAGTGGTTCTCTTCGTTTTCGATCATCTCCGGTCAACATTGGCAGGTGTCACGATTAGCCTTGCTTTCATTCCCTCGGTAGATTGTGCAGAATCAGCGCTTAAACTAACGACCTCGACAAACAGGTGGCGGCCATGCACCCGCCGCGGCAGATCCTGTCCGTGCCCGCGCCGCAGTCTCGGCGTTCGAGATCATTCAGCCCCTCAACTCTGCCCAGCCCGGGGCAGGGACGACAGTGACCGAAGCCCTCTTGCTCGAGGCGATGCTCGCGCGCTTATTCAGCGACAAGGTAGACATTTTTGCGCCGGAAGCATCTGCACGGAGACGTGTCATCAGTGATGCCCCCGGCCACGCACAATCGAGAAGAACGCACTGAGAGCCCAGAGGGTTATCAAAATCTCGTTCGGGCCGTGGTGGTTCAGAATGCCCTCGGGCACGGGATAACTTACTTGCGGGCCCAGCGACGACGCGAAGCTAAGCACGTCATTCTCAGTAATCGAGCGTAACAGAGAGACAGATCGAGCGCACCGTCCAAATTGCCACCCGTTCACATAGATCATGCTCCGATACGGAGCGGCCGAATCGAGAGCCAGATCGAACGCCAGCGGGATGTCCGAGCCCGCGGGCAGATCCAGCGTGAACGTTGTGCGATACGCTGTGACGCCTGCCGTCGTGCGGCCTTGGTACGGCGTGCAGGACTGCCACGAGGAGGCGTTGTATCCGGGCAGGTGCGCGCCTAGGCGCGGGGGATCATTGTCTTTGGCCGGTGACAGAAGAGCACGTGAGGCTTACCGACGCGCTCAAACCACCACCCGCCCTCGTTGTACGGCCCGCGAACGTAGTCAGGCGCGTTTTCGCCGCCGATATCTAGTGCTTTGAGAAGCCTGTGCGAGTGAGATGAACGCCACTGGACTTACTTCCAGCCACTTTCCACTGCGTGAAGTCGTTTCCGGTCGTGGATAGCAGCGTGTAGCCCCGGATTCCACGTGGAGTTTTGTGTTCATCATTGACGTTGTCTAGAGAGCGTCAAATTCACGTCCTGGAACGACTCGAACGAACGCACAATCTTCATTCAAACCAGTCGAGTCATGTATCACCGTTAACACTGACGCAATCGATGTTAGTCATCATTTGAACAGATGAGGATTGCCCACCATTTCCTGCTGGAATCAGCATCCCTGCTGTGAAATTGAACGTCGGAGACAGCAAATCGACGCCGCGCTGGTCGATCGAGCTTCCCTGGCCGGATCCGAGGAAATGCGAGTTGAGGAAGACCGAGTAGCCGAACGAGAATCCGCTAGGAACCCCAGTGGTGAGATCGATGGAAGTAACTAGACTTCACGGACACACCCTTGGATCGAAAGTTGCACACCGGTCGCATTACCATTAAAGTGTCCGCGCCATACCCACTGGCCGGCATGGAAGCCGTACCTGGGCGATAAGATCAGATTACGCACGTGATCTATCAGTGGGACCGTGAACGCACTCCCCAGCATACAGCACATACTGATATCGATAAACTTCCAGGAAACCAGATTTCAGAATGAAATGGGCGACTCACCTTGCCTGCAGTAGGCTTGAGCGGCCTCTGCGTGCTCGTCTTGTTTGCAACGACCCACTGGCTGTCATCGAACCCCGGCTGCAGTTCAGGCAAAGAATCCGCGCAGCTCCACGCGAGATCTTGCAGCACGGGGATCTGGGCGGCCGGGAGCGATTGCGGGAAGCCCAGCGTCGCCTGCAGACTGCTGCCGATCCCCGATGTCGTGGGGACGGGACTCCCGTTCCAAGTGATCGACGTGAACTTTTGCGGGGCCCACACGTTCAGCTGCGTCGTCGCGTTCAGATCACCCGTCAGCGCGAGGACGGCGCCTGCGGCCGTGGCCGATCGGACGAGGTACGGCCCGGAGACGAGGACGGACGGCGTTTCTGGTGTCAGATCGTACTGTGCAGAGCTCGTGATGGTGAGACGCGGGGCCCAGAACGCGGAGACAGTTTGCTTGTCTCCCACGATGAGTTTGTTCGTGCCGAAGGTGACGAACGTGAGACCCGACGGGGTTCCAGAGATCGTGACGAGCTGCGACGGCGATCATCATCAGCATCCACCTGCTTGTCGAGAAGAGTGTCAGATCTGCGCACCCCTTTGCCCCCCTTGGCGGAGATGGTGCTGGATCCCGAAGTCCTGATGGTCTGATGCTTAGGGTTTAAAACTGAGATTTCAACGTATTGGCCCGCCAAAGCGTAAAGCACGATCGTGTCCACTCCGTCAAAGGTCGCCCAGGTCATAACCTGCTCGGGAATCAGTCAACGCCGTCGATCGGGAGCTGCACGACGTACTTCAGCAGTGGAAAACACCAGCATTCCTTGGCCAAACGGATAATTCGTGACGACGATCTTCGTCTCACGACCCGCCAGCGTCAAATTCCCCGCCGTGGGAATCGTGATGAGCCCCAGCGCGGTCGTGTTGACGCTCAACGTGAAATGCGTGTCGGTGACCTTCGTGTTCGTCAGCTGGCGCACGACGTAGAAATTCACGTTCGAGGACGGTGATCGCAGATTGGTCGTGTAGATATCGGGTGAGGTCGAGAAGGTCGTGCCAGCGCCGACGCGGCCGACGAGCAGGTAGTCGGGCGATGCGTGGAGGAAATACGACTGCAGCTTGAGCTCGGCCAGTTTTGGACGAGAGGTCCGATCTTCTGCGATTGCGCCACCGTAACTTGATAGCCTCGGCATTAGATCACTTGGGAAAAAAAGTAAGAAAGACTGACTCGTAGCTGGAGTAGATTGCTTGAAATTTCCGTTAGTCGTCAACGCAGAAAGAAGGAGCTGAGTGGTTACTCACTGGTGCAGTGCTGCGATAGAAATACTCAGCTGAGGTAGATGCAAAAGGGAGTAGGTACAATTACCATGTTTCCCCAATTGGTTCCTCCGTAGGTCATATAGAGATTCTGCAGTGCAGCACCGGCCGCATAGTTGTTCTTGTAATACACATTGGCGAATTGCTCATTGACGAGAAGCGAGCATTTTTCGTAGCCGGGCCCGGACCAATAGTCGAACGCACCGCCCTGCCATTCGAATAGAGCGAGCGGCTCCGCGGGGTTGAGCGATTGGTGGGAGTTGTCGCTTTCTGGAAGGACTCGCATGAGGATGCTCCCTCTGATTAAGTGAAACGATGCTCACGAGTAGAAAGCTCCGTCCAGACACTGGGGCTGTTGCAGTCAAAGCCCAGAGGATACCCGTCCCAGCCGTATCTGAGCGGGGGACATCAGACACCAGCAAGTTAGTATCAGCAACAAACTCACAAATCGACCTTCCCCAGTCCTGCTTTCGCATACTGACCATTGGGGCCCCGATCGTTGTGTATAATGGGCACCTTATTCATGCCATTCGCCCTCAACACGTTCTCGATGTCCTGCATGTGCTCGCTTAGTCCGGTGATGTGCGCGGTCGCGCTCGTCTCGAATTCGTTCTCGCTCTGGATGGCGATGACGGGCCCGTGCGGGTACTGGAACGGCGCGGTCGCTTGCGCAAACGCGGAGATGTACGGGAGCCAGGCGGTGCGGTAGCCCGTCGCGTTCGTGCGAGCGAGCGCGGGGATGTTGGTCGTCCAGCCGGGGATGCCTCCTGCCGCGGTCTCGGCATTGACGTAGGGTCTGCGGCAGTGGAGAATGGATATGTGTTGGAATCAATGCCACTTTGTGGGACGCACCCGGGACGGACGACGACCAGAAGCCCAACCTCCTGCGCTGCGGTGAAGAACGCGGCGAGGTCGTTGTGCTGTGTGAACCGAACTTCGGCCGCGTTTGGCGCGGAGAGTCCCCAGTGCCCTGCGCGTAGATGTCAAGTACAAGTGGGAGATTGATGGCGGGGAGCGCACAATACACGGAAACGGCGTTGAAACCAGACGCCTTGAATCTTCACACACACAGTCAGTGACTATTTCATGGAGGGAAGGGAGGAAAGAGAGCCTCACTTTTCGAGAATGTCATACCACAGCTCGGGAGCAGGTAGCCGGAATGGATGAAACTCGCCAGAAAAGACGACGAGGCGCTGTTGAAGGACATGCGCGTTGGGAGTGCGCGAGGGAATGAAACTTGGGGGCGCACCTTGCCATCCAGGAGGATGGAGTGCTGATCAAAGGTCACCGAAGAGTTGGACAGACCGTGATAGAATCCAGCTGCACCATGGATGAGCGACAGCAAGGCCCCGTAGCAGGTGAAAGTAGCACGCACGCGATCCGATCGGTTGAACATACTGCGCGCTGTTGTTGTTGAACGATTGCGCGACGCTAAGTGCGGCCACTGACAGCGCCGCAAGGGCGCGTACAAGCTGCATGATGCACAGCTGGCGGTTTTCCGCCCTCCTCTTATATCAACTGCCAGCTCTAGTCATGGGTCGGGACACGGCGTGCGGCCCGTAGGTCAGCTGAGTCTGCAAAGATGATTCTCATGTTGATGTCGCGTTCGCGTACGAGGAAGGTGCGCAGAAGAACATGGTCATCTTGATGGGTTCTTGCGGTATCAATTCGTCCGTTGTGTGGAGTGACCGCGCAAGGCCAGAGCTGATGTGATTGTTGATGGATGACTGACAGGGCTGATCGTGGCTGATGACCCTCTCAAGACTTGGAACATTACAGTATGCTCCTTTCCTTCCTGTGAAGACCTGAAACTCGGAGGCAGACATTGCAATAGAGGCTGTCTTCCAGCTTGGCTAATAAACATGTAAACACAGGAATACTGTTTGCATGAAGACCTTTCGACAAGCCACTGCACTCCGTCATTCATCTGTCAGTCTCTCTGAACACCACGGACACTCCTACTTCCTGGCTTTCTGGCTGTTCAGCTGCGTCTCAGTTGGTCTCCTAGTGACCATTCCATGTTAAACAAAGTTGCACCGGAGCAAAATCTTGTGCTCTAGTAGGCGATTCGCTAAGCTTAGTGACAAACCCTCATGTCGGCTTTCTCCGCTAGTTGCCGGTGAGCAGTCTTGGTTCGAGCATCCCAAGATGGGTTTCAGCGCTGCTGCTTTTCACATACTCCCACTTTGCTCTCGACCGAATCTTGAGCGTGAGCCAGCCGAAAACCTACAACTTCAAGGCACAAAGCCTTCTTCCCCGCGGCGAACCCATGGCCGCTTATCTAATAAGCGCATCAATACGCCATATGGCAACTCGCAGCAAAGCCAGAGCTCGTCTCTGCCCACGTCGACACCACACATGAAGCTCGAGGGGTCCCTGCGTGGCCCGCGTCCTTTCCAACTAGGCCGTCGCGGGCTCGTCGCTCTCGTCTCCCTCGCCCTACTGAGCACACACCTCGCATTCGCGCCATTCGCTTCCGTCTCACAAGGGTCGAAAACGCACGCGATCCCGCCCGAATGTGTCCGCCTCCACGAGCCGATCCCACTCAAACCGTCGTCTGAATACCTCGAGAAGCGTGTCGCGACGGGCAGCGACCGCTTTGTCCCGGGCACACCACCGACCCTCATCAAGAACGCGAAGATCATCACAGGCGCGAGGAATGGCACGGAGGTGGTGTACGGCGACGTTTTACTTGACAAGGGTCTGGTAGTAGCGGTCGGGTACATCCCAGACCACTTTGTGCTGCCGCCGGACGTGGTCGTCGTCGATGCGGCGGGGAAATGGATCACCCCGGGGTTGGTCGACGCGCATTCGCACTTGGGTGTAGGCTCGGCACCCGAACTGTCCGGTGGGTACTTCATTGGCTGTGCGTTTACAGCGACTCACTGGGGACTGCAGGCGCATCTGATACCAATTCTGTTGCCGCACCTGTGCTGCCGTGGCTCCGCAGCGTTGACGGGCTCAACACGCACGACGACGCGTACAAACTCGTTGTCGCAGGCGGTGTGACGACCGCGCAGATTCTGCCGGGCAGCGCGAACAATATCGGCGGACAGGCGTTCCTGATCAAGCTTCGCCCCACGAAGGAACGCTCGACTTCGAGCATGCTTCTCGAGCCGCCGCCATCGCTGTTCCTCAATGGGACAGAAGAGCCGCGTGAGACGTGGCGTCACATGAAGTGTGTTCATTGCTCGTTCTATCCTTTCACGCCTTTCTCACTCTCTTCCTACTCAGACATGCGTGCGGCGAGAACCCGTCTCGTGTGCATTCGCAGACCCGGATGGACTCGGCGTGGGAGTTCCGTCACGCTTACGAGGAGGCGCGCAAAGTCCGCGACGCGCAGGACGCGTTCTGCGCCAAAGCGGAGCGTGGCGAGTGGGACGGGCGCGCGCAGTTCCCCCAGAGTTTGAAGTGGGAGGCGCTGGTGGATGTGCTGAGGGGCAAAGTCAAGCTTTCAGTCCATTGCTACGAGGTGCTCTTGCTTCTAGAGTAGTCGTCTCCTCCGCTGATTCCCCGGTAGGCTGTGGACTTGGACGCCCTTGTTAGGGTGCGCGCTTCTCATCTTCCATTTCCAGTATAAACTAACATTTACAGCTCACGAATGAATTCAAGTTCCCGGTTTCGTCTATCCACCATGCCGGTGAGACGTACCTCGTCCCGGACCTGATCAAGCGGGCTTGGGTGTGGAATCTTGTTTCTATCGCAATTACCTGCTGCTGAATTTCCCCCCAGGGCAACATTCCTTCCATCGCCCTCTTCGCGTCTAACTTCCGGAAAAAGCGCGAAGCGTACAGGGGGTCCGAGTTTGCGACGAGGATTCTGGCCGATAACGGGCTGCGTGTGATCTTGAAGGTGTGTGGTTCCGGTCTCTAGCTTTCGACGAGGTTCTCAATCCAGTGACCTAAACCAGTCGGACCATCCGGTGCTGAACTCACGATACCTGATGTACGAGGCTCAGCAGGCGCACTACCACAGTCTGAACCCGGGACTGGCGCTCGCGTCTGTGACAGCCGAGCCGGCGAGAGTTTTGGGCGTGGACTGGCGGGTGGGGTCTATCATCGAAGGTGGGCCGCCTTGCCTTCATCAACGCCGGTCGTTCTGAAGAAGGGCAGGGTACGATGCCGACCTGGTCATTTGGGACTCTCATCCCCTAGCTCTCGGTGCGACGCCGATGCAAGTCTACATCGACGGAATCGCACAGCTGCCCGAACTGCCGGGACCGGTCCCGAAACCGGATGCATTCCAGCACGTGCCGGAGACACCTTCCTGGGAGAAGGAGATTGCGGAGACCATCGAGTACGAGGGCCTGCCTCCGCTGGAGGGCAGAGGATTCACTGGCACTGTCGCGTTCGTGGATGTACGGAACGTGTGGATGCGGAACGGCGCGATGGGTCTGCGGTCATTGGTCGACGACTCGAGCGAGGGGAACCTTACTGTGGTCGTCCACGGCGGCCGGATTGCTTGTGCTGGGTCGACTGCGGATGGCGGCTGCGCCTCGTTCATGTCAGGTCCCATCGAGACCGTCGACTTGCAGGGCGGGTCGCTCGCTCCAGGTCTCACGACGTTCGGATCGCGACTGGGTCTGAGCGAGATTCTGCAAGAGCCGTCGACGAATGATGGAAACGTCTTTGACCCGCTGACGGGTTCTGTGCCGAGCATCCTGGGACACACGGTCATCCGTGCGGTGGATGGGCTGCAGTTCGCCGGTCGCAACACATTGTGCGTCGTGGTGGTGGTTGATGTGATTAGCCCGTGTGCGCTTACGTTCTGCCCAGATACGCGTTCCGATACGGTGTGACGACCGCTGTGGTGGCTCCGCAGGGCTACGGCTTCTTGCAGGGGCTGGGGGTCGCATTCGATACGGGATCGCCGCATGCTCTGGCGCCGGGAGCTATCGTCCAGAGCGAGACTGCGTTGCACATCTCGATGCGCTCGGGGATGGGTGCGTCTGTGAGCACACAGGTCGCCACGCTGCGCCGTATGCTGTCCGCCGGGGAGGGGCCGTGGATCCGTGTGCGCGAGGTGCGTGGTGGTGCCTTCGGTCACTGCCGTGGTCGATGCTAAGGACTTGTTAGGGCGAGATTCCACTGGTGATCAAAGTGGACAGCGCGGATATCATGGCCACTGTCCTTGCGCTAAAGGCCAAGCATGATGCGGAGACGGGGAACACCCTCCAGCTGACGTTCGTCGACGCTGCCGAGGCCCATCTGCTTGCCGAGGAGATAGGGAAGGCAAACGTCAGCGTGATTCTGTCCCCGGCGAGGCCGTACCCTGAGTCATGGAACGCGCGGAGAATGTGTGTAGCGTTGTGTGTGTGTGTGCATGTCGATCGCGATGCTGATCAACCGACAGACTCCCCGGGCCACCCCTGTCGGCCGAGACGGCAGTCGTGAAGTTGTTGAGACACGGTGTGAACGTTGGGCTGGGCGTGCCGACAGATTACGACGCGAAGAACTCTCGCTTCGAGATGGCCTGGGTGGGTTTTCCTTCCTCGCTGTGTTTTCGCTGCCCCTGCTCACGTTCTCAGGCCGCGCTCGACTCGAACGGCACCATCGGATATGCCACTGCGCATGCCCTGTTTTCCACGAACCTTGAGCGCGCGCTCGGAATCTCCGACTCGCATGGCGCGGACCTGGTTGTTCTGCAAGCTGGCGGGCTGATGGATCTCGAGAGCAAGATCGTAGGGGTAGTCTCTGAGCGAAAGGGCCTTGTGCGGCTGTTTTAATGAGCCTGGGCGAAATCGAAAGACGATGTATACACTTCTCCTTAATGCCAGTGCTGTTGTGTCTTGACCACGACAACTTCTTGGAGCTATGCGGCAAGCAGAGAGCATCAAATCTCAGCGTCTCTCGCCAGGGCCAGAAGCATGCCAGCAATGAGCCTGGGGCAACTTCTCCGGCGGGGTTGATCTTCCGCTGGCACACATCTAGTGGGTAGCATCGTCTGTGATTAGCTATGGTACTAATCTTCCTCCAAGTTCTGCGAACTCGTCAGAGCCCAACGCAGCCTATAATTTCTTTTCGACGCAGCCGACTCGGGCCAATGGTATTTTGACCATCGAAATATGTGCGTCATGATTTCTCTGATTTATCAACGAGCTTTCGGGTGCTCGCCATTTTCAGAAGATATATATACGTATTGCGCAGCTCGCGGCAAGCACGTCATCCCATGCTCTCGCACGATCCTTGTCGGAACCGCTTCCACATAAGGAAGTCGTGCACACATGTCCTTACGCAAGTAAGAACTGGTGGGGGCTAGGCGGTTGTGTGTGTCCCCATTTGGGCAGCATTCTTACTGCGCTCTCCTTCGCGGTCTGGTGACATGCATATGCAGGGCAACGCGACTGCAATCACTCGCATTATATTAGGCGACTGCAGCCGGACACACACACACGGAATCCTCGGCCACGGAGATCGGAGAACTGGGGAACCCCTCTTTCTCTCTCTCTACGTCTCTTTCAGATAGGCTCCAGTTCTTTTTGTGCGAGATGTTGCCTGGGCTCAGGCTCGGATGCAATCTTGGCACAGCTAGACACACAAAGATCTCTCGGCGCCATCGATATCTGGCGGCAGAGGTCGGGTGAGGTAAGGGAAGCCCAGTGGTTCGAGATGCAGGCGTCGGCTGGGACAGCAAACTGCATGCGGGACACGGCCGCTTCCGGTCCCCATCAAATAAATATCACAGTTTCTCCGAGCATCGCTGTGGCATATTGTTTCAGATTGGCTGTTCTCCCCCATGGCTTGAACTCTGGGACTTGATCTCTGCACTGGCCCTTCAAAGAAATCTGGACTGGATCAAGCTGCTCGAATCGTTCCACCATTATTTCTTGTGCACTCGATGGTCATGCCCAAGGGGGATATCCCGCTGTTTCATTATCTCACCGATCACTTTCATCGTCAAAGGCCGATCACAGTTGTCTGCACGACCGACTCGGACCGAGCGGGTCCCTCATCGCCAACTCGATCGCAGAAGGGAAGTCAAAGACAGAAAAGCAAACGAATTTGCAAGTTCCGACCAACTGTCGCTAAGATTTCACCAAAAAAAACTTCGCTGTTTCGACAGCCTTGCTGTTTCCTAGTGACACCTGACAGACTTGTCCTCGGGTTTCGGACTCGTGGGCTCACGCTTATTTGAAACGAAGATGTCGTCACGATATATAACGCGGATCATAGCAAGCAAGGCTCGGGTCGAGTGCACGTTTCTTGTCCCTCCTTCTCTTCTTCACACTCCACTGGCCTTGCGTCGAAATCCGCCGACACGCGTCCTTCTCTTTTAAGGACTGGTGCCTACTTTGATAGCGACTCCGCCCCCCTCCTCAACCTGCGCTTCCTCCTCCGATCTCTTCTTCTACAGCCAGCATGATCGCCGCTCCCGTGCCACCCACAACCCACGGAGTCGCAAAGCCCCATCGGCTCCGGCTGATGCGCTCAACCCGAAAACTTGCAGCCCTCCTCGGCACGACCCCCGTCCTCCTCGAGTCCGCGCCACCCTCTCTCCCATCCTCCCCCATCAGCGCCGAACACCCGCTGTCCGCTGCGGATGCATACGACTCCGACCCCGGCGCCGCGTCTTCGTTCTCGCACACCTTCCCCCCACGCACGGAGTCGCCGTCGCTCGTGCACCCGCGTTCGCCCCGGAGCGGGAGCAGCAGCAGCAGCAGCAGCCACGGCAGCCGGCCGTCAACGTCCTCCGGCGACACGCGTCCCGCGCGGCCGACCCTGTTCCTGCGGCACACCAACTCCGTCACGGGCCCGCGCGTGCGGGTGGACTCGCACGGGTGGGGCCGCCCGGCGACGCTGCCCGGCACACTGCCGTCGCCTGTCTCGCCGACGGCGCCGGAGAACGAGGCGGAGCACCGGCGGCGCAAGATGGCGCGCGTGATGCGCACGCTGGGCGAGCGCGTTCCCGTGGATCTGGTGTTTCCGGCGTCGCCTGTCACGTCGGTGTCTGATGCGGGGTCGGACACGCTGTGCGAGGGCGCGGGCGCGGGCAAGTCGTCTTCGTCGTCGTCGTCGTCGTCTTCCTCGGCATCGATGTTTTCCGAGGCGTTCAGTGATGGGGACGAGGAGCTGTGGGTAGCAGATCTCAAGGCTCTGTCCAGGGATCGTGGTGTTCGCAGTCCCGAGCCGACCTCTACCCGCCCGTCACTGTCTTCTGCCGCCGTTTCCTCGATCTCGGCTGACAAGGCCGCCAAGAACCTGCGCAAGCGGTCCATTCAGCGCGGGGGCCCCGGGTGGACAGGTGAATGGAACGTCGACGAGCAGTCGCTCATGAAGGGGTTGAGGCAGCTGAAGTGATTTCTTTCTCCTTTTCTTTTTCGTTGTATTGTTACCTCTTCGCTTTGATTCCTTTATTATTTCGTTGTTAGGCCTAGAGCTTGCACTAATCTGCATTACCGATGGACACCCTAGAACTAGTTAACCGTAAGTACTTTGTTTATATTGCCATGTATCTCATTATAATATTTCATACGTGATCTTAAACATTCGAACCGCAGCCCTTCGGTCACGCCTCAGGTCTCGTGCCCCTTGTATGACGCTCAAAACTTGACGTCATCTCGTCCCGACCCGTCTCGCTGCTCTCATCTGCACACCCTCGCAAACTCAATGCCGACGAAACTACAAGGAAGCTGCCACTGTGGCGCCGTGCGCTTCAGCGTCCTATCGAGCACCGCCGTGCCATACCAGGTCAGCTCCATCAGATCAAACAATCGCCAAGATTCATCGATGCATCGCGTGCCTGTAGCTCTGCGTCTGCTCGATCTGCCGCAAAGCTGGCGGCGTCGGCGGGTCGATCAACCTCGGCGGCCACTCGAATTCGCTTGAGATCGAGCGCGGGAAGGAGTTCATCAGGTTTGTCGTTGCGTTGCGTTGCGCCGCATCGATCCGATCCGGCGTGGTGCGAGACGGGACGCGATGGTTGACTCTTGGCCTGCTGCAGTGTGTACAAGGCTGTGCTTGACCGCGACACGCCGCAAGAACGCACCGCGTCGTCTGAGCGCAACTTCTGCTCCAAGTGCTCGACTATGCTCTGGCTGTACGACGAAACCTGGTGCGTGCTGCTGCGTTGGTCAAATCAGGCGCGCTTGCATCTCAGATTACCGTGTCCCCCATCAGGCCTGAACTCATCCACCCCTTCGCATCAGCGATCGACTCGCCGCTCGAGACGCCCGACAAACTGGTGCGTCGCTGTCCGTCTTTTCTCCTCTCCTCTTCCTCCGCGACTTGGATCCGAGTCTGAGACACGCGTGCGGCAGGTCGTGGTCAAAATGAACAGCAAGCCGGCGTACGTGTATCTGCCGGACGCGCCGAAGGAGACGTACGAGGACTACGGCCCGGAGTCGCTCACGAGCTGGCACCAGAAGCACGGCAAGTACGTCGAGTGAGGCGTACCTTAGTGCTGTATCACACACACAACGCGGAATGCACGCAAAGTTCGATTGTTGGACTGGCGGATTGACGATGGGCGTTCAGCCGTGGTATGGATCCGCATCTGATGGACTAGTGGTGAGTGAGTGCCCGATAGATGGCTCGTTCGGGAGGCCGCATGCTGCTCGTGGAGCGGCGGGCGATCGTAGCTCGAATCGTCCAGTCCTGGCACTTATGTGCGAGGTATCAGGCCCGACGCGGGAGTGAGCGCCGGCGCCAGATTCAGTCGTTGGGTGTTTGGATCGCAGGTCACCCAAGCTCGAGAGACGCTTATTTGGCGGATGCGACGAGAGTGTTGAAGGTGCATGATGGATTCCCGGCCAGGCACCCCAGTCTGATAAGCATTGAATGCATCGAGTCGTGATTCAACCCAGGTCCACCAGGGATCAGTGATCATCTTGTAGACTCCCGCAACCCCTCCTCGAGGCTCGCACAGGCTCCGGACGAGCCGATGATAAGCACCCGCTGAATGTATATAAAAGCTCAGCCGATCTGTGTGAAGAAGCCCCAGTTTCAGTCACTCGCCAACTTACCTACGATGCTGTTCAACCTCAAATCCCTCGTCACCGTCGCTGTGGTTGCGCTCATGGGCGCATCCAGCGTCTCTGCTCAGTGCGTTGGCTGTAGACAAGGGTGATTGGCACTGTCTGATAATTGTTCCTCTGTAGCTGCCAGTGCATCCTCCGCAAGGACACCGTCGAGGGCCGTGAGGTCGCTGCCGTCGTTGCTGGGTCAGTCTCAGTCCCAGTCTGTGTTAGGGTCTTCGAGGCTGATGTTGTTTTTCCACCTGCTCCAGCCGTGTCGCCGTCGACTCGTGCTGCTTCTCCGCCCGCGCTGAGCCGACTCCCGTCGCTTAAATCCGTAGTACTTAGTGCAGACGGTAGTGTTACAATGAACAATGCGCAAAGAAACTGTATCCGCTCGCGCGTGTGAACTAGTGTCAAGCCAACGAATACAATTCCTTGTTTCCACGATGAGTATGGAGAGAAAATACAATTATGCCAAGGCTCCCGAGTCCCGAGGGGCATCGCTATCCCATCTTGTTGAGTTGCATAAGCCTCGATACTCGTTACAATACACTCGGAAGAGAATCTGTGATGCGCAGCGAGATTGCTATCCGCGCCCGTCCCTCGTGCTCCTCCCAAGCTACTCCAGGGCACGGCATAGCCCTTATCCTCCCCTGCCCTGGGGGGGTCGCAGATAAGCGGCGGGCATATAAGGAGGCAAGCAGATCCTCAGCGAGCCCAGAATCGACCTCCCCGTTTCTGCCACCCAGCCAAGAACATAGTATGCTGTTCAACCTCAAGTCGGTTCTGACCCTCGCGGTCGTCGGGCTCATGGGCGCCTCCAATGTCGCGGCACTGTGCGTAGCCCTCAGCTGTCTATGATCCCACCTGAGCTCGGTTGGCTGACGCGACTCGGCCCCTGCAGCTGCGCGCCGTGCGTCCCGCCCCGGAGCGGCATCGTCGAGGGCCGCGAGGTCGTCGATTTCAAGGCCATTGCTGGGTCTGTGATGTTTCTCCTCCCAGTTGGCTATGCGCGGTGCTGATGCCGTACCACAGACGCGTTGCGCGCGCCAGCTGCTGCTTCGGCAGCCCTCCTTGAGCTGCGGCGGGAAGCGATCAGACGAGTGTTGTGGCTGCACCCATAGATAATATAAATCTGTGTTCAACAATCATGCCGTGTCTTTGTCTCTGAAACCAGTGTCGTGAAGAAACCATGTCTGGATATGGCCTCGTGGGCTTGAGAATCTTGCGCTTGGGACACTGCCGATATCCGCCGCAGATCTGGCAGTTGAGACGGCAAGAGATAAGACCGCGCAGTCGGCGATGTGGCTTGGAAGGTACGAAAACTAGTACAGGAGCCGGACACGGGTTGAGAACAACGCACATCTAACCAGTCGTGGGATTGCCCCAGCTTGTGTAAATGAAGAAAGCGGCAGCGAGAGAAAAGTTCGGACAACAAGTAATCATGTGCGCGGATGACGCACGTGGGGTGGTCCGTGCACGTTTCAAAGTCCGCTTGCCACTCCGCCGGAGTATAAATTTCGCCCATCAGCTTGTGTGTGACCTCAAGAAATGCCACGCTGATCGACGCAGACTGCGACCGCCGACGCAGTGCCAATTGACGCGTTAAACGCGACACTTGTTCTTCACGAGCGACACCAGTATTAGGAAATATGGCGGTTTGGAGCCACGCCGCTGTATGCTGACATATTCTGCTGGGATATTCGCTGTACCTTTTACGTCGACGGAGTGTGGGCCACGGATGGTATTCTACTGGTGAGTTTCCCTCTCGTTCTTCGTTTCTTCCAACACTTTCCCCTACTTCCATGTCGGGTCGAAGAATGAAAAATATAAACTGATTTAATGAGTCGGATCCATCCGTGGATTAGACGACACTTTTTTCGATGATGAGACCCATCTTGGCTATCCATGTCTTATTTGAATCACGCATGCTGACTATTTCCCGCAGATATTGATCTCTCCATGGCCATGATGGATGTGTTTCTGTCGATTTCTTCGGGAGTTCACCTACATACATACGTGTCTTGCAAGCTACCTACCTCTCTATCCGAGTAGCTGTCGTAGTAAGTATGATTTATTGTGTGGCAAACGTTTTAGAGTCTGTTGGACACACTTCCCTGGGCGTTGCTCAAAATTTTAAGCTGTAAAGTATCACGTGAAAGGACTGTTGTCAGCGCCAAGCCGCCCCTGCTCGGTACATTCTGCCTGCTCGTCCTCCACAACTGGTGTGCTACTGGACCCCTGCGGTAACTGCGCCGCAGGTTGGGTCTCGATTGGGCTAGAGTGAGAGTGGTGGTATGAAGCCTTAGAGACCTGAAGTTACTGTACTCGTACAGAGTGGTTTCAATGAAGGACTGATCAACGGAGAGAAATCGCCGTGGGCCGGAAGCAATCTTTCGCCAACGTCGCCTTGACAAATCGATCATGCATCACGCTTTTGGGCGCCGTTTCATAATTCTCTTCCATCCCTGCTCCCCCACCAACCCACTACCCGACCGACGCACACACACACACTCCCCAATCATTGAGCCTCCACATTCTTTTTTGTAACGCGCACGATTTCTTCGCATGGCCGGGAAGATTACACCGGACCGCGAGGACCTGGGGCCAGGCGGATTGCGGAGTCCGTCGTACACGAGTCTGCTGAGCGCGGAGACGATGTCGGATAGCCTCAGTCCGCGCACACCCTTCTCCGCGACCTCGCGCTCAAAGGAGGAGCTGGTCCCGCTCGGGGCTGTGGATCGGTCCTCGAGCGGACTGACGCTACGGCGTCCCGGATATGCGGCGTCCGAGGCCGGGAGCGCGACCGACAAGGTGCGTCTGCAGCAGGCCGTAGCCACTCTGTCTGTGTGCTGCCTCCTGACAATGCCCTAGTTCAACCTCTCCCCGGATCCCACGACATGGGGCTTCGACGTCAACGCACCAGAACCCGACGACGTGCTCCACAACCCCGGTCCCCGCGGCACCATAAACGACAAGTCGCCGTCGGACAGCCTTTTCACGCGGCGCGGGTTCATGAACGTCGGATGTCTGGCTATCCTCTGCTTGCTGATCGTCGGTCTCTTGTGCGTCCCTCCGTTTGTCGCTGTGACCCCCTGGCAGGCGCGCTGACGTGCCGTAGCCTGGGCTATCCCGTCGCGTCGCACTTCACCCGCGCGAAGCCGAGCGAGGCTGTCGCGACGGGCCCCATGACGCCCATCGCGAACTTCAGCAGTCGCGGGCTCATTGACGTGCACACGCCTCAGGTCTGTCCCAGCGGTTCCCAAAAAGCCGCCTGGATGTGACGCTGAATGACCCGTGTAGAGTGCGCACCAGATCTATGGCTACCACGACAGCTCTCAGGCGCTGCAGCTCGTTTTCAGCGACGAGTTCGAGGTGGAGGGGCGCAGTTTCTATCCAGGGGATGATCCATATTGGTGCGTGGATTCCTTCCCGCGGCTCATCCAGAACCGCGCCTGACTTTTAGATCCAGGGAGGCCGTAGACTTCGACTACTGGTCAACCGGCGACAAGGAGTGGTACGACCCCAAGCAAATCACCACCCGAGCTGGCGCGCTGGAGATCACGCTGGAGCAAGTAACGGATCCGACACTGAACCATAACATGAATTACTCGAGCGGCATGATGTCCACGTGGAACAAGGTACGCGCTGCTTCGCACTGTCCCAGCCCGCGGTGCTGATACTTCCATAGTTCTGCTTCACCGAGGGACTGATCCTGGCGAGCGTTCAGCTCCCAGGCGAGCACACGCTTTCAGGGTTCTGGCCGGCGGTGTGGACGATGGGTAACCTGGGCCGTGCTGGCTACGGTGCGACCCTGGATGGGATGGTGAGTCCAGCACCCATTGTTCTTCGAATGATCGGCTGACATCCCCCAGTGGCCCTACAGTTCGTCCCTTTTCCCACAATCGGACGTGCATCAGCTGACATCAGATTCCAAGGTTACGACTCGTGTGACGTCGGGACCCTGCCCAACCAGACCCTCAACAACGCGCCCCAAGCAGCCCTCGACACGGGTTCCAAGGACTACAACGGGACACTGTCCTATCTGGGCGGCCAGCGGCTCTCTCGCTGCACGTGCAAGGGCGAGTCGCACCCGGGGCCGCTGCACAAGGACGGCTCCTACGTCGGTCGGTCGGCGCCCGAGATCGATGTCATCGAGGCGCAGATCGGGGGCAACTCTGGCGATCCGACGAGCCGAGGGCAAGTGTCCCAGTCGTCGCAGTGGGCGGTAGGCCGTTTATCCGCACGGCTCTTCTCGTGTTGAATCCATCACAGCCGTTCGATGCCTCGTACATCTGGAACAACTCCACGGACAACATGATCATCCGCGACCCGGCCCACTCGTCGCAGAATACGTACTCTGGCGGCATATACCAGGAAGCCGCGTCTGTCGTGTCAGACACCAACCAGCTCTGCTACCAGCTCGTCCAGGACTGTTTCGCCGTGCACGGCTTCGAGTATGTGTCCGGTTTCGACAACGCAGTATGTGCTCTATGTCTCCTCACTTGTTGGTCCGATCTCAACAGCGCTGTAGTACATCACCTGGATCACCGACAACAAAGTGACCTGGACCCTGAATGCCGCCGGTGTCGGAGCGAATCCGCAGACCCAAATCTCTGCGCGGCCCATTCCCACCGAGCCGATGGTAAGCTCACAGGGCCTTGCGCTGGTTGCGTCGCACTCACCATTGCACAGTACATCCTGATCAACCTGGGCTTCTCCCGCAACTTCGCCTGGCTCGACGAGCGGCTCTCTTTCCCCGGGATCATGCGCGTCGACTGGGTCCGCGTATATCAACACCCGGATAAAATCAACATCGGCTGCGACCCACCAGACCGCCCGACGCAGGACTACATCAACACGTACGTCACCCATTCCTTCTCCCTGCCTTTCTGCTTCAGTGCAGCTCATTCGGTTCCAGGTACATCGAGGCGTATACTAACCCGAATCTGACCACGTGGACGGACGATTACAAGCAGCCTGTCCCCAAGAACAACCTAACTAGCCAGTGTTGAGCCTAGATTGATACCCCCCTTTATTTGGAGCGCTTGCTCGATCTATTCATGTAATGTACTGTATACGGGGTTTCGGTCGGTGTGCTGCCTGGACGCGCACAGGTATCTTGGGGCCTTTTTGTGTGTAGTACGCACGTTTTGTGCATGTAGACCTCCCTCCCAACACATGCCAGTAGCAGACAGCACACACATGATCGAGCCGCTGTGCGAATGCTTTCACTGTGGGCTGCCCACCGTATAGAATGAAGCAGCGCTTGCGACTCTGCTTGGATCGCATCATGGTCGTCGGAGAAGAGCATGAATGATTGAGCTGTACCGCCAGGCGACTCTGAGGTGATGCATCGCGAATGTGAAGAAACTGAGGAACGCTTGGAGTCCGCAGATCATAGTAGAGACTTGGACATTGAACTGTATATATCACGAGGGTCAGCCTGTTTATTAGCGGCCAATCCGTGTCTCTAATTTACATCAGGTGCTTTCAGTTCTTGGGCACTTTGACAAACACGAATCGCGACACCCCATCGTCCTGCACCTGCCACTCCCGCTTGAGCTCGTAGCCACCTCTCTGGGGTAGCCATTTGGCCCAGAACGCCCAATACAGCGCACCGAGCTGGGACACACCGATGGTGACTAGAACGTACATCTGCGGGAGCCGTCAGTCGGTCAGTCGCTTCTGGCTACGAGGAGCATGACGGACGTAATACGGCACGCGCTCGAACGTGCGGCCGCCCTTGGTCGGCGGGATCAGCGGGGTGACGGCTAGGAACACGTTCGAGAGGAAGAACGCGACGACGACCCAGCGTGGGGCCTGAAACGGGGGGTTCCAGCCCAAGCTGGAATAGCCTTTGGTGTGCAGCAGCAGCAGACCAAACGAGACCAGGGTGTTGATGATGGTGAGCGAGTAGGAGGACACTGGGCAGCAGCAGTCAGCCTAAGCACCACATCGAGACAGTATATGGACGTACTGCTCAGCAGGAATAGATATGCGTCCCCGGGCGGTGGCGCGATCACCAGGGCAACTGAAAGCAAGTACAGCAAGCTCAACCCGGCCAACGGTGCCCCGAAGGGTTTGTTGCTCGAGAAGAATGTGGCGAAGGGAAACACGCCCTCGCGGCCGAGTTCTTGGATCACTGCGCGCACATTATGGGTCTGCTACTGTCAGCAAACGGTGACCACGAACCTCGCCCCTGGGTGAATGAAACCGACAGAATGTTGCCCAACGATGAAAGCGCGATGCAGAAGCTCAGCGCCTGTTCTGTAGCGGGGCCGAATAGATTGCGGAAGAAAAGTGCCCTGGTAAGCTTAAGAAACTGTCGCCGAATCCGAGTCGAAACACTTACGCAACGATCTGCCGACTACTGAGGATGTCGTTCTTCGAGACGACTCCAAAGTACGCGATATTGACCAGCATGTAGACGATCGTGACAGAGATGATCGCCAGTGGGGCTGCTCGCTTAATCGTCTTGACCGGATCCTTGATCTCAGAGAGAGCGTAATTGGCATTCGAGTACCCAATGAAAGACCTGCACAGCTATAGTGAGACGACAGAGTGGGAACAGGCCGAGCCAGAGCACCCACCAGATCACGTTATACAATCCTGTAACGAGAGCATTGGCATCCGCTCGGCTGCCCGACCACACGTGCTCCCAGCTTGCAAAGTTGTCTGGTTTCTCATAACCGTTACGCACTGCTAAGCCAGGGACGCCAACGAGGGAGAGCATTCCCAAAGCGGCGATGCCCGCGAGGATACCGAACTTGAAAAGTCCGAGGATATTGAGCAGTCGCACGCCAGTCTTGTGGAACACGCCGATCATCGATAAACTGAATGTAAGACAGACGATCGCCGTCAGACGAGTCCTAAACGGTGTCGCTTCGAGCCCAAGGGAGTGGATGAAATCTGAAAACCATTAGTAGCTTCCCCAAGCTACCTGTACTCAGACGCACATTCGCCAAAGACGATCCCGTTCGTCGCACTGGATCCCTGTGCACAGCCAGTAAGCGCTGGCAGGGTTCATGAGAGGAACAAGGATCACGGACGGTAATAAGCGTGTAGACGCCGTATGTGCAGCTGACCATGAACTGCGGTCGGCGATAGATGTACTCCAAGTAGTTTTTCTCGCCGCCGCTCCTCGGTAGACCCTGCCCGGATTGCATGAGGGGAGGACTGGAGCCAGGAGCGCAGATCAGCGCACCGTGCCTAGTTCTACATAGACCGTGGTCCCCGCCGTCGCGATGAGCGCCCCGAGCACCCACATCAGCATCGCGACGCCGACGCTTCCCGCGGACAGCAAGATAACGCTGGGCGTCGCGAAGATTCTGCACCGCCGTGAGTTTCAGCGCAAGATTCGGCACGGAACAAGCACACACCCTGTCCCAATGACGCGATTGAAGACGAGAAATGTCGCGGTCGTCAGTCCTGCGCCCGGATGAGCCTGAGCGACACCCGGACAAGAAGGGATGGCACGGACCTAGCTGTCGCCGCTCCTGCGGCACAGCATCGAACGATTCACCTGGGCGCGCGTTATCTCAGCCATGCGTTCCGTGTGCGTCGCGCGCGGGCCACGCACCCGATGTGTTTCCCTCGCTTCTGTCGACTGCAGCACCGTGGGGAGAGGCATCCGATGAGAGGGCCCCGTATTGCGTCTTGGTGGCGAGCAGGCGCTCCTCTTCGCCGCTCATGGTCGTTATCGCGCGGTGAGGAGGGAGAGGGCAGACGGGAACTTGGCCTGGCCGCCATCGCCGCTGCGTCCCTGAGCGTAAGCGTGGGTGCTCATCTAAGATGAGAATGACGTGATCTAGTGACACATGCCAGGACGCGCTCATGTGACTTGGCAGCGGCCGCCCCCAGTGTGTTTTTGTTTGAAATGGTGATCCGCAATTGGGGTTATGCAGCAGCTTCAGACAACTGGTCGTGAAATCATCTTCTTAAATACACATATGAGTTTTCGGGCCTTGACAAATATCTCTGAGAAACACGGACAAGTACACTGTACAGTGCAAGAGCAATGTCTTTCAATCGATTGCAGCACATATCCGAGACGAAACAGCAACATCAACTAAACTGGGCCATCCTCATAACTGTTTCCAAAGAGAATGTGTTTCCCAGTCCTCTTCCATTTTGTTGCCACGAATGAAACGCCCAGCGGAATTCGGCGTGCTAGCTCGTTCGAGAAACCAAAGTTCGGTGACGCCCGCCTTTCGGAGATATGCAGGCAACTTGCAATAGTTTAGCCCCACCGCATGCGGCCCGTGACTGTCGTCAGACAGTCCCAAGCGTCCCCCGTTCTCGAGAATGATCTGACGCCGCTTGAGATAAGCCCACAGACTGGCGCGACAACACACCTGGAGTAAATCCGGCCCTGGATAAGGCGTTGTCCAGTCTTTCCGCAGAGCAGCAGCGTTTATCTCAAAGATCGCGCCATATTCGATAGCGAACAGGATGTTGCGTCGGGCACCTCCCAGGGCGTCCGGGAAATCCGCGAGCCGCAAATCCGGCGTGTAGAGCCTGCACAGATCCAAGTGCCCGACGACCTCCGGCTTGAAACGGCGCAAGAGCTCGTACTGCGCGTCGAAATAGCGGGATAGGAAGCGGCCGTGGTCCGAGGCGACGGCAGAGCGATACGTGGCTGCGTCGAAGTCGATCGGCAGGCCATTGACGTGGTGCACCGATCCAACGAGGTATTCCACGCGCTCGCCATACCGCGCTAGCAGTGCTTCGAGCTGATCCAAGTCGTCATCCGTGATGTACTCCGTTTCCAGCCCGACCAGAAGCGTGATTTGGCTGGCGTACTTGATCTTCAGGCTATGCGCCTCATCGAGGTATCGGCCGAATCGCTCAGAGAGGTCTTGAAGCGTGAGTTCTCGCTGATCGTCGTGACCGGCAGTCTAGCTTGGGGAATATATATTGCACACACCTCCTCCGGGTACAAATCTTCTTCTCGATAGCGCGGTACATGCTCGCTGAGCCCGTAGATCTGGAACCCCTTCTCGATCGCAGCCAGCACGACATGTTCTAGAGACCCGACCGCGTGACTGCAGAACTGTCCAGAGTGCGAATGCAGACTGTGAGGCATGTGTGCGTCAGGATGAGGGGTCCTGAATAAATGCTGACTCATCACACAGAAATAACTCTCCTCCCACTCTTACCTGGGCCGGCCCGTGGCGGGAGCGTCAATCCTGCACCGATGCGGCACCATGCAGCGAGCGTATCGCCGCACGTTTGCCGATAGAAGAAGCTTTAGCTTGGCCGACCAAATGGAAACGAGAGGACCAACTTGCAATCGTTCTTGTGGTGGCATCTGGGGCCAGGTGTGCCCAGTGTCTTCCCGTCGCAGCTTCTCACTCACAGAGATCTGCATCAGGCACGGTACGCAACTGAGGGCTACATTCCACACACGCACCTATGACATCCCGTGTCCATTAGCGACCGTCACTCGTGAGCGGGGGCGTCACTATCCAAGCACTCTTGGCTCTGCCCTCATGCACCTCCCACCAGAACTCTGGTCGCTCGTGCTCGAGGACATCGGCCCCGCCGACCTCTGTGCCATCCACCTCCTATCGTGGAACTTCCACGACATCGCCCATCCCCTCCTCTTCCGCAAGGTTCGTATTCACCTGGGGCCGAACACGAAAGACTTGGCGTTTCTGGCGCGCCTCGATGCCCTGAAGAGCAGAGACACCAGGCTCTGCGTCCGGAACCTTGCAATCGACTGCAGCCTCCGGCCGTGTCTTGCGCGGGCCGCGAATCATGATGGCGCGCAGGTCGGCAGCGTGTCGCGTGCGAGCGATAACGAGCTCGTCGTGGCTCTGCTGAAGACTCTCCCGACTTTCAAGAGCCTGCGCCGGCTCGAGCTCGTATTTGGGTACGACTCGGCGGTGCATGTAGGGAAACTTGGCCTGGAGAAGATACATGCAGGGCTGGAGGAACTGGTGATTGATGGCGGAGTTATAGTACCAGCAATGGAGACGACGAAATCCGTATCTTTGCTGCGTGTGGACCGGCTAGTCCTCCATGCCTCGCGCCAGCGCAGCCGCGATTCGCTCACCTCCCATCTGTGCCTCATGGAGCTCGTGGACCCGTCCCGCTTGCGCACTGTGACCCTCCACTTCCGGGGTTGCCTTGTCCTCGGCTCACGGCTCGCCGCGCTGGAGTTCCCCGCCGTCACATCGCTCAGCGTGAGCTGCTTCCGGCTCAGCGCCACGCAGGTCCTGATCCTGGCATGCGTGTTTCCGAACGTGGAGGGCCTCAAGCTGGACGTCGCAACGTGGGCCGCAGATGTGGGAGACAGCGGCGAGCGGTTGTTCCCGAGGCTCAGAAAGCTCATCGCCCCGGAGGACTGCCTTCCGTTTCTGCTCTCTGGTGCTGCGGCCCTCGCGCCCTCTTGTGTTGCAAGGCTCACGGTCAACTCGGACTGCATGTCATGGGCGACCTTGGCGAAGCTTGACTTGTCGTCACTCCGGGCCCTTTGGTGCTCGATCACGGTCGCAGAGTTGTCGAATTGCGTGCATATATGCGAGTGGCTCCCAGCCCTGACCGTGGTGGAACTGTCGATTTCAGTCGACGTGATCGCAACCGAGCATTTGAAACGAGTCTGTATTTCTTCACATGTCTGTGCTGTCGCCCACTGACCGTCTTGTCTCAGCTCGCATCCGCCCTGGCCCGTATGGTGCGGCAAGCGAAGCAACTCCAAAGGCTGGTAGTGACTCTGAAATCGGCTGAAGATGCCATGATTCTCTTTCTCGCAATGTACCTCCTCAAACGGTGTATCGCTGAGCACGACTTGGGATCGTCAGCCTGTCTATTGGACTTGCGCTGCGCATAGGACGGTTACACCTTTGAGCAACAGATGATAACTCACTTGAACGCAGAGGCGATCCCTGTTCTCTTTTGAAGGAAAACACGCATGTAAATTGCTCTACAATCTGCATGTGCTTGGTGCGCGTCTGTAATAGATCAATGTTGGCGCTCCAGTGTTTCATGAGAGAAACTAAACTCAAATCATACCCTTGAGCCGGTCGTCACAGCTCACGGGCGTATGATGTAGTGGTATCATGCTCGCTTTGCATTCTTGTATTTGCGAGCTGTCCAGGGTTCAAATCCCTGTGCGTCCATTTTGATACAATTCGGGCCTCTTAGTCGCGGTACCCGTTTCATTTCCCCATGCTTCGGGTTCCCTCGATTTTACAATAAGCATGAGGATTATTTCATGCTTCCCAGACACTGAAGAAATATTCGGCCCCCCTTGACATAAGTATCCTCGGGGCCCATGGTAGGCCACCCAGTAGCGAGGGTTCAAGCGGGTTTTAGCGCGGTAAAAGCAGTGGACGGCAAAAATAGCCGGGTCCAGGGAGCGAGGTAACTCGCAGAGAAAACCAAGTCGGAGATAAGTAACAGCACCGGAGATTACGACGGCGTGGTTGACCTCGCCCTTAGCCGCGAGCACTTCAAGCGGGAGCGGGATGACGCTGCGTCAATGACCACTTGAAACTTGAATGAGGTTCATTCACACCCAAAACGTGTACGCATTGATGGCGGAGTCCGGTATAACACACATCATCAATGACTAAATCACAGGCTGCTGCACGACCTGAAATAGAGCGTAGACCAAGCATAGACAGTTGTAGACAGTTGCCGGGAGGTACCATAGATGTCAACCCGCGTGGAAGATTCGGGTACCGGCAAGCTCACGTTTCCCGCTTCTAATTCTCTCCCCTCACACGTAGCCGGGGCCGCTCGGTGCCCTTTTGAACGCCGGTCCAGCCTGAGAAGTAGAAGGGCTGCTGTCCTTGTATTTGCTGCTACCACCAGTCGTGGTCACGCTGCATCTGTCTTGTCTTGTGGCTCTGTTGCTGGTCGAACTGCACCCGTGGTTACCGCCTCGTGTTTCGCGTGCGGCAGCAGCGTCATAAATTGAGGACGGAGACCTCCCGAAAAACCTGGCTATGGCATCCTCTTCTCGCTCGTCCTCGTCGTTGCCGTCGTCGCCGTCAGCACATTCCTTAGCTGCTCTTGCACCAGAGATAGTCGAGGAGATCATCGCGTTCCTTCCTCCCATCCCGAAGTCGTATCTGGCGCTCTCCCGCGTCTCGCACGCATTCCATTCCCTCTGCATACGATTCATCTATGGGCACATCGTTCTCCGCTCCCCGTCGGCTCTAGTGCAGTGCTTCCGGGCCATTGTGGCGACGCCGAATCCGCTGGCGGTGCGAAGCATTGAGGTGAACTGCAGGTGAGTTGCTTGGCATGCGAGATCACTCGTTGTTGCTCACCGCTTACGCACAGACGCGAATTGTCATCCCTCGCATCGTTTTCTGCCCTGGTGCAACACTGCCTCGTCCGCCTGACGAATGTGACCCGACTCGTCATCTTCGCCCCAGAGCAGACAACAAGCAGCTTCGTATCCGCGCTCCAGCAGTGCTCGTTCCCATGGCTGACGCATCTTGAGAGCTGTTTCTCGCTCGACGAGCGGATGTCGGCGTTTCTGAGTCGGCACCCCAGGATCAGCTACCTCCAGCTCGACAGCCTAGAGCCCACGAGCCTGGGGGGCGAAATCCGGCTGCCCGGACTCGAGTACTTTGTCGGCAACAGTACGTGCCTGGCGCCCGTGGCCCGACACGCGTCGTTACGCGCCGCATTCATCACGTGGGACGACGCAGACGAGGCCCGGGACAACCAGGACGTGTTTGCCGCCCTTGAGCGCCGCAGTACGGACACGCTGAACGTCCTGGCGTGCCGGAGACACAGCTGGAATCTCGACCTGCTCGAGCAGATCTCATGGCATCTTCCGCACATCTATGCGCTCAGTCTGACGAACCTGTTCTTCGTGCCTGTGAGCAGGGTGTCAGCTGAAACGTCTCCAGTCAGTGGGAAAGCGCAGCCGCTCACCGATCTGGAGTTGACCGCTTGAACAGCTGGACGCGATACGCCGGCTCTTGACTCGGTTTTCGTGCCTGCAGCGGCTGGCCGTCAGCTGCGTCAATGTGATGGACGCAGATGACGCGCTACCAATTGAGCCAAACATGGACGGGGCCTTTGAATCTGTCACATCCTGGGGCGAATCCTGCCCGTCCCTGCTTGAATGCACTCTCCCCCGTGAGTGTCTCGTATTCTCCAACCCCCGATCTCGACTAACACCCGCATGCCCTCACAGAGTCCGGCACGATGAAGTGGATCCGCATCTGCGACAACCTGTGGCTTCCGGACCTCGCCCACCCCACCGGACCGGGCTCGCGCTGGATCTGGGACCGTCTGCGGGAACGGCGGTATCCGGACTGGGACCGGATACTCGAGACGACGCATGCCCGGCGCGGGGGCGCTGCAGCCATCGCGCATATGCGTCTGCTTGCGCTCCGCGATGCCGCGCTGGATTTGAGGGTGCCGAGTCACAGGATGCCACAGGAGGAGGAGCAGCGCGAGATCAGGTTGGGCGGCGCGGGGTCGATGCTCGAGGAGGAAGATGTTACAGAGACGAGGACGACATGACCGACTTGCGTGATATGCGTCGACGGACTGGATGGGTAGTGCAGAGAGACAATGATTGGCTGTCACGGTGACAGGCTCCAGTATCACACACGGTCCAGCAGCTATTTTGATTCAGAAACCTCACCGAGTCCGCAGTGAGCGGCGTGGATTCTACGCACTGAAACAACTGCCAGTGCCACTGAACGATGCATTTGCCAACATCGATAGTTAGATTGGATCCTTGTGACTGAGACGACTGTGGCTCACAGCTTGAAGGGTCAACTCCGGTCTGCGTCGATTAGTGGCTAAATCACTTCGTTGTGGTATAGACACAATCCGAAGAGCCGGGTGTTCGATCCACCCCGCGGACATCTCTCAGACTGAGACCTTTTTACTCTCCCAAAACCCACAATGGCCATCCCTGGATGCCCTCTCTTCCTACCATAGAAACGTATCCCTCGCCTGTTTTCACGATCCACATCCACTCACTCATTGATCTCGGTCCACATCCCTCTCACCGCTCGTCATGTTCTAGCTCCTCTGCTAGAGGGCCACGACACTACGATAGGAGAGAGCCCACCCCACGATTCAGATTTGAAACAAGGCGCATTACGATGCCGATTCCATGAAAAAGAGAGATACAAGCGAGAGTGGTGATACAACGAACAAGGAACGGCGCATCTGAATGTGTGCTGGGAGGATCCCGGTCAGATGCGTTGTACTTGATGAGCGCGAAGCAGGAGGGACACACCTGGGAAGTGCTAGACCATCTGCTGGCGAGTGTCCGAGCCATCCCGCAGCCCTCTGCTCTCTCCAGAGCCCCTCTCAATGGTACAATGACCACTCCCCGAGCGATCTATGCACCAGCGCCCCAGCTCGAACATGCCGATAACAACTCCCGTGAAGAAGAACGTGATCTCGAATGCGAGCGGGACCGAGATGCGCTCAGGCTCGATTCCGGCGACGAGAAGCAGGACGATCAGGAGAGCCGTCGAGGCGAAGACGCAGGTGGTGAAGTCGACGAGCAGGGCGATGAGCCAGTCTATCCAGGTCACGGGCGCGGCTGCAGCTCGAGCGATCTGCTTCTCCTCGTCGTAGCTTGGCGGCGGAGGCTCGGTGAATGTGCCGTAGTGCGATGACGACGACGACGACATGGCTGGCGGGGACAGAGAGCGAGGGCGGAAGTGCGCAGTGCAGCCTTCCGCTTTTTAAGCGGCGATCGAAGCGCTCGCGAGGAACCCCGGAATGAAATGAAGTGGACGGATCGTGAATGCATTCTTCCTTCTTAGGGGCGTTCCGCGGGTGGCAGCTGTCAACGAAGTCTTGTTTGTATTCGAATCGAGTTGAGAGTTGGCCGCGCTGATGCAGGCTGATGCTCATCGTGCAATGCTCACATTGCCTGGTCGAGTCATAGCCGCCATTTGGTGAGGGCTGGAAACGGTTTCACCTCAACGAGAACATGAGGGACATGGGCAATGGAGGAAACAGAGACGAGGTGGACAGCAAATGCATGACATTCAGCGACATCTCGATGTGATGATGGCAAGCAGTCAGACAACAAGAGTCTCAGGATCACGTCTTGAACTGGTCAAGCTGCCGTGTGGCTCAATGGTTCTTCGTGAGCTTCGCCATGGATTTCGTCGCAACTTGTCGCCGGCCTTAGCAGAACAAGCTCGAAACAGAGAACGATGCATCGTAAAAAAGACCGGGTGGGGTATTCAAGATTGAAAAAAGAAAAGAAGTGCACACGTGCCGTGAAGCAAAATGTTTATGGGATATTTGACCCGGCATCTGATCCGATCAAGGGCACCATCTCAACTGCGACAATCCAACCAACATCTACCCATGCAGCAAAACATATTTTTCCGCGAGGAACGGTTTAGCTTAGTATCTGATAAAGATTCCATTTCCATGCAAAAATAGATAACAGACGGTAATCGTACAGAGGGTAAAGAGCACCTCATGATGTAGAGTTCACAAGCACCGCAGGTACGCAATCGGGCCCCCGGCACGTTTCATTAACCGTCATAAACTCGCTTTTCTGGCCGTCTGGAAAGAAACACATAGCATATTGAGCGCTTTCTAGCTCGAGCCAGGGGATGAGTCTTCACGCCACCTTCTTCGCCTCGATGCTCTGGAGGAAGGTGCTGTCCCCCGCTTGGCGGTGGACCGCGACGACGGTCCAGCCCGTCTTGGCGAGCAGCTCCGTGAAGTGGATGACGGTGCGTTCCTGCGAGTTGAATAGCAAGAACATCTGTGCCAATCGTGAGTTCGGTAGGTGTATGGAGGGAGAATGAACCGGTGACGCACGTCGAAATCAGCGTTGTATCCCATATCGTTGTAGCCACCGTAGTTGGCAAGCAACGGCGCGGGCGCCTCGACAGGTGCCGCACCGGGGATGCCGCCGGGTCCGTCGGCGCTCGGGTCTCGGCAGGCCAACGGCATCACGCTATCGAGCAGGAGAAGAGTCGCACCGGGCTTCGCGGCTTTGGAGAGTTGGGTGAGAATTTTGACGCAATATTCATCGGACCAGTCGTGCATGATTTGCTTCAACAAGTAAATGGATGCGTTGTTTTGGGGCTGGGGTACGAAGAAATCCTGGACTACAGATGGGATAAATCCAGTCTTCGAGGAATGAGAGCAAAGGACGAAGAGCTTACCTTGAAGCGTGACCTGGCCGGACGAAATGGCCTCAGGATGCTCTGTGGCCCAGATCTGGACACACGGTGAGCACTCAGCCAGAACAACACCCGCCACAAAGGAAACGCACATCCTTAGCCTGACCGATTACAGCTTCGAGATCCTGCACGACGAACTTGAGGTCGGGGAACTTCTTCGCTAGCGTCAAGGTCGATGTTCCAACACCTCCACCGACATCAACGATCAGCGATCCGGGAGAGACTTCTTCCCACTTGTACGCTATCCGCGATCACATCAGCTTGCTGTATCGCGAGGAGAAAAGAAAAACATGGAACGGACCCTGAACAACAGCATCGGGCGGCTGAAGCGCCTGGATCCCCTGCATTCCGATCCCGAAACGATCCTGCCGCCACTTCTGCTCCGGGCGCTCGTAATACTGCCACAGAGTCTCGGCACGGCCCATCGCACGGGCGAAGGGAGACGCGGTCGGATCACCGGACCGGACGGTCTTCGGGTCCTCGAGCGTCTCCCAGGCGTATGCCGACGCCTTGAAGGCTTCATCCAAGTGGTGGCCCGCGAGGGCAGCGAGTCCCATGGTGCCGACGTGCTTCGTCTCCGGGCTGGGTTGGAGTTCGAGTGAGTATCCGGGCAGCAACCAAATTGAAAGAAACGCACTGCGCGATGACATCCGCTGCAGGCTTCAGGGTATCGAGCATGCTGGAAATGCGGTTGTTCGCAAACACATTGGGCGCCACCTCGCGGTACACGTGGTGGGTAGCAAGATAGCGCAGGAAGCGGGCTGTTGAAAAAGAACATGAGATTCGGGCTTTGAGACACAATCCGTCCTGGAGGCACCCACCGAGTTTTTCGGGATCTTGACCATTCTTATCAGCAATGTCCTTGACATGGAGACCCTTAAGCCAACGTGCGTCAACATCCGAGGTGCACGGTTGAGAAGATAGGGTAAGGCACAAACCTGGGGGCCAGCTTCCCGCAGAATCTCAGTCACGCTGGACTCAAGGCACACGCGAAGCGCAGCAGACTTGAAGTGCTGTTCAAATCGATCAAGAGGTGTTACGACGGCGGAAATACGGAGAGACGCACACCGCTGACGATCCGGTACAAGGAGATGTGCGGAGGAGTGAGGATCGCCTCGAGCTGGAGCGCCGCGGCGCTGATCGCAGCTGCGGCAGGGCCCCCGGCGGGATCCATGCGGAACGCCTCAGAGGGCGGCGCGAAGGGCTCGGCCAGGTCGGGAATCGTGAGCCCCGCCTGCTCGAGAACTTCGACGTTCTTGGTGATGATGTCGAGAAGCTGGCGAATGGCAGAAGTCATGGTAGAGCGTGGTCGAGATGCAGACACAGCTCATAGTGGGCGCATATAAGCAGGGTAAATGACTGTGACTAGCACGGGTCACGTTCCCTGATTGACAATTCGTATTGGACCGCGAGCAGATCTCGCTCAATACAGATGCCGCCCGTCCACGAGCTTCCTGGTGATCATGTTTCACAAACGGATTGACGGGCCCGAGCCATTTGCACAGCTAATTCCTGCGTGCTGAGATCTGGAACTTCAGAACTCATCTCTCAGATGCGGGAGAACCAGAAGACATCAAGTTCCAGGTCCAAGATCGTGAACCGTTGCCACTGAAGCGAAAAGGGAGATGTCGGAGACAAGCGTGAGAGTATTTGGGCGCGGTCTCAGGTCTAGACTCGGGTGCCTCGCGCCTGCAGCAAATCAGAATAGACTACGTCGTCTCACCGCGCTTCTTGGGCGGCTTTGTTCTCAGGTTCCACATATCCATCAGGACTCATAATAACGTGACTCGACCGAGATGTGCGGTATTGCCGCACATGGACCAGAATAGATACCTCTAACAGCACAGAATCTGAGAGCTGTTCAACCCAAACTCATAGTCTAACCGACTCATGCCTAGCACGAGACTGGAAGGTAGTTAAGCGTTTAGGTAACATGGCGATTGCCGACCAAGTTGACGTCGCATTCAATCTACAGTTTGGCTTGCTCTGCGACAAGGTGAGAGTTCTGCCTCCACCAGCGGTCGACGGCCTCATCTGCGTCGTAGCTAAATTGCTCGATGCTTCTCTCCCGATCCGCCCACATATTCGCACTGCCTGCATTTGGGTCATGCCGTGTCTCCATCGCGCGCCGCATCGAAGCGTCCCGTTCTTGCTGCTCCGGCCCATCAGGCAGATGGAAGGTCAGCTGATTCGCCGCCGCTGCATTCTGTGTCGCAGTCGCGCGTCCAATGCGGAGTGTTTGATACGCCTCCAAAAGATGAGTGAGTTGCGACTTGTGAGTGATACGCGATAGAAGGTTCCCCAGAACCGCAGCGTCCTCAATCTATCAAGAAGAAAGTATCATTCAGAGGAGATGACAGTAGCAAGTTCGACGACTCACAGCCATGGCAGAGCCTTGGGCCCGATACGGCTAGGCAGGATAAAGGGTAACAAGTCAGTTCTTGCCAAGGTTCTGGATTGGTACCATACGCCTCACCAGCATGGAGTGACATGCATCGCCAATGAGAGCAACACGTCGGTTTTCCGACAGCCAAGTAGTATGGAGGCCGGGAATTATATGCTGATAAGCGGAGGACATATCACTGATACGCGAAAGTTTGCCGACATGGCATCAATGTCATGATGCGCTCTATGTCATGATGCGCTCTGTCTGGACCCCGAACGCTGAAGTGTATTACTAGCATTGACACGCCTACGGAGCGTATGAGCGCGCAGCTGTACGGGGAGAGACAGGGGGCTAGTCGGAGGTCGTGGGGAGGGAGCTGCGGCTCGAGCTCGCGCAGTATATTTGTGGGATTCTGATCCTAACAAGGTCAGGCTCGGGGAAATGGGCTTAACTGAAATGGGCGGGGGCAGCAGCGAGCAACAGGGGGAGTAAAGGGACAATAGAACAGGCGATGGGACGATAATGACGACGGAGGACAGGACGAGAGGACGATAGAACGACGGGGAGATCAATATGTATGTCTGTAGCACGAAATGGGGGTTTGGGGGCGATGTTGGGAAAATAATGCAGAAGCAGGCGCCGAGAAAGCGAGATAGAAAGTACTGGGAAGTCACTTTAGACTCTAGAGAGTGGGTGAAGAAGATTTCTTGTTTTTCTTGTACTGTACTACAGGTCTTTTATACTACTGTACCGTGCCAATCAAATCGTCAGGGGGTGTGATGCGTGACACAAAAGGTCAATTCGTCAATTCGTCAGGTCCCCCCATGACATGTGACATGTTGATTTTTTCGTCAGGTCATGCATTCACCTCCCTATGAGTTGCTTGCAACTTGATCTGAAGCTATCTGTGTGATAGCCCCAGACAGACTCAAAACAACACAGGGAAGGGTACACAAGTATTTTTAACACTTCAGCTGAACCCCACAAGCCTTATTTATTTCCGAACGGAAAAATGAATTCGTCACCTGAGCATGTGATGCGTGACATCAAAACAAATTTCGACTTCGTCAGGCAGCCTGTGACGCGTGACTGACGATTTGATTGGCACGGTACAGTAAGTGTGAATCAAATCCAAAGGAGATAAGTAACTTGAACCTCCTGTTGATATGGTGACCATTGAGCTCTATGTTAATTTATTTCTTTAGTCAGTGCTGAATTTTGCCGAAATGAATGAGTCCTGTGAGCACAACAAGGAGACGAACTCCGAAATAGGACCCCGCCGGAGGCATCCAGTGATGATCAGAATGATCACGTGCAACAACCTTGATGAGCTCGCTGACAAATCCATTGAGATCTTTTCGTGCACGTGATCGATTGATTTCAGGGCTAGGGCGCATCACTGCTCGTCAGCATGTATGTACTACCAATGATCATTGAAATCCTGAGAGTCCTCTTTGTCCGAGAACCATGCGTACAATGCATGAGCGTCATCCGGTAACTGGGAGTTGGGCATGGGATACACTTCGGGCTCGATATCGTTGATCATTGCGTTCAGACGTGCGTGATGTTCAGGACCTCCGAAAGGAGACGAGTCAGTGAACAGTAAGGTTCCCAAGTAATGGAACATACCGAGACCATCCCCATTGTTGACTCCACCCATATAATAAGCACCCTCTCCGACGACCCCCTCACCGCCCTGCAGTTCCTGCAAGTTTGGGAGAAGGGGAATGTTTTTATCGACCGGCTGGGTCAGCACATGCCCCCACCTTGCATCGGCACTCTGATCGATATTGTTTGTAAGGGCAACTCCTGCCAGCCCGAAGGAAGAGAGCACACAGCACACAACAACCTCACATGAGTCTGAGCACAGAGGGGGATCCTTAGAGACTATCAAATACAAGGGAGGTATACTACTCACCTGAGCACAGAGGGGGATCCTTAGAGAACGGTTCAAGGATCCATGTGCCCAGGTGTCACACTATATAGTCAGCTGTGACAAGTGACTGATGATGATGGGATATCACTGCCATGGAACAATGGCAGATGACAAGTAGATAATGACAAACCCAGATAAGATAGTGAGTGGCTCAGAGGGGCCAGTGATGGCCAGCTCCTGAGACACCAACAGTGGAAGGCCACACTGGAGGAGCCCAGCGGCCAGGCCAGTGCCCGGCCGGCCAGTGGAGACATTGGAGGCGAGGACCAATGCCCAACTGGGAAGAGGGGTGGTGCAGATGAGCGCAAGGGCATCTGGTACGAGCCTGTACGGCAGTAGACCACATCCGCGGGGAGAAGGCCGAAGTGAAGGGGGAGGAGTGCATACGGCAGTAGCACTCCCTGGTGCAAGGAATCGGGCTTGGCTAGACCGCTTGCGGGGATTCGAGGGAGATGGCCGGGGGAAGAAGGGAAAGGGCGGATGTTGGCATGGATGGAGATGAGGATCGGAGGAGGAGGAGGAGGCTGGGTGATCGACAGGTGAGCAGGCACGGGTCGGCAGAGAGGGTGCAGTGGGTCACGTGCATGGTCACGTGCCCAAGGAGCGCGGCGTCCCCTGACATTGTTGAGCTGATCCAACTCCTTGAGGCGATTCAGGAGCTGGAGATATACATCCCAACATGAGTCCCGGTCCACAATAGGGCTATTAAGCTTTGCATAGATATCCAAGATCGCGATCTCGAAGTCAGGGGGAACAAGGAGAAAGACGTCATGATCAGGTGGTGCGTACATCTGTCGGACTTTTTCAATACCGATAGGATCGACCTTGATCTGTAAGGGACTAGTAGTTAGTGGCTTGTACTTGATGAAATCGGACTCGTACCTTGAAATCGAGGATGGCGTAATCCTCTGGGAACTCAAACATGCTAGTCGGAACACTGTGAGGAAGGATCTTGTTACGATCACAGCGCTTTGCGGTATTGTTCACGCGATGCCGATACAGCTCAAGCTCGCCCTGAAGCCACGGGATGAATACCCAACGGAAGACTAAGCTTCCAGCCTTCGGAGAAGCCTCTGGGGATCGGTTCGTTCAAATCTGCTCATTCTGCGTTTCTGACGCTGTCCACTTTGCCAACCACACCCCTCGGAGCGCTTCCAAATCAAGCCGTTGCCGCGAAACGCATGTTCAAGAACAACGAGAATAGCGTCTTGATCCACTTCAACCCCATCGATGAATATGCGCACCATGTATCGGAGGCACATCTCCTATTCTGGGGCACTACCCTTCTCAGTTTCGTTTATTCTTTCGTGCGTAACTACATATCAAAGCATGTCGCGCCACCAGGCGACCTCCCTATCTTTGAAGTCCGCTTTGTCGAGGCCGGCGTTGCTCTGGTTCACAATGCGGTGGCAGATGGCAAGTCGAGCAAAATGATGACATCACTCCGACGATCATATCTCATTGAAGAATTAATTGGAACGGATTTGTTCTCTGCAACGACTCGAGTATATTGCTCACTGAATTTCAGGCAATTTTGTGAAGTACATCAATAACAATAGTGCAGTGCCCGTTCCGTCGCTTCCAGAAGATCTCAAGCTGTTGGCATCGTTCCTCTGTTTTACACAACATGTCCAATACGAACACACCGGGCGTTTGGTCTTTCTTTCTGATCTTCAAGGCCGGTTCATTCGATCTGGCTCACTGTTTCATACTAACTCTATCCAAGGCTCCGGAAATCTCTTGACGGATCCGCAGGTTATGACTTCACCGTGCGCAGTCCACTGCTGTGTCAATCTGCGTGCTCTTGATATCTGACTGGATCATCAGGACTCTCGAACGTGGTCTGTTTGGTGGTGGCAATTCAGGCAGGTTCTTCGAGAAGTTTCCTGAGCAGCATGTATGCTCCGGTTACTGCAAGTTTTTTGGACTGTCTAGTCTCATGTAAGTAGTTACGCTCTATCGCTACTCTACAGTGCATGTACTTGGCCTTTTTCATACATGTTAACGAGCGTTCGGGGTCCAGACAGAGCGCATCATGACATAGAGCGCATCATGACATTGATGCCATGTCGGCAAACTTTCGCGTATCAGTGATATGTCCTCCGCTTATCAGCATATAATTCCCGGCCTCCATAAAGTAGCGAGGGGGCGGTGCAGCATCAATTTTCCGGCCTTCGCGGTGCTTGTCAGTTTAAGCAGTTTCTGCACTCTGTACAAGTATGGTTCCAATTTGACACAACATGTTCAACACCACTCACTGTGGTTCAAAGTTGGCGAAGATACGGCGCATTTCTTCGACGTCCCCGTCCGCGGTCCATGAGTCATGGAATTTTCCGGATGAGCTGTCAGGGCAGAGAAAGACGAGGTTGTACTCTGCCGCTCCGCTCTGTGTGATGGTAATCCGAGATCAGCTGGGAGCAATAGCGAATGACTCGGCGCGATCGCTTACAATACAGTAGCCAACAACATGCCGGCCAGGCCCCATCCAGCAGGTCGCCTCAGGAATGAGAACGAGCGCTCGCAAGTCCGGATCTGTCAACAATGGCGCGGTCGGAATGACGACCCTAAACACCGCATCACCTGTGGCGATGCTATGATCCTCCGCATCCGGAAATATGGCCCGCCGTGTGACACTCTGTGGGAGAATATATGGTAAGCTGTTTAGGCGCGATAGTCGAGCATATGGATCCACCCGGACGCCGTCTGCTCCTAGAATCAGATCCGCCGTGATTATTTCTCCGTTGTCGAGCGCGACGGTGCCATCGGCTGGATTCACCGCCTTGACCCGAGATGAGAGTCGGATATCCGCAAACGGAGCAGAAAGGCTTGCAAGCATCGCTATAAGATCTGCCCTCTGTTCATATCAACAAGGTTGAGAATGATCCGGGGGCACCAGAGCGATGGAAGCTCACATGTATGTGGAGGTACGGGGCCCCATGCGTGAACGCCATACTATCTCCAAACTCAGCAAATCCAATCCGCTCGCCCGTTTCATCTAGAAGTATCAAATGATCATCGGCGAATGCAAGCCCAGACTCTTCCTTCTTACATCGGCGGAATGAAACTGAGAGTGGTTTGACAGCGAGCTGGGCTAGACGGTCGGCGAGCCCCCATCGCATGAGCAATCTCGACATATCTCGCAGCCGGCGTATCAGCACCCGCGGTTGATTCACGATGGATCCGAAACAGAGCAACAACTCACTCGGTCCCAGTTGGATTCCTGCACCGGTCTCCCGGATTTCGGCAGAGCTTTCCAGCACGATAATTTCGTGCCCAGCTTGCCCCAGACAAAACGCTGCAGACAAGCCAGAAACGCCAGCGCCGATAATCACGACACGGAGGCGGCACTTCGCGGTTCTTCCATCAAAGATTTTGTGCATGTCAGGCTGTTCGATGTCGTCAATGAGAGTGCGAAGGGTGAGGTTGATGATCTCTTTTTTGCTTTTGGGAGCATGCTCGTATTTATACATGTGAGGATTGGATCTGGAGCGGCTTGATGTCATCGTTGGCATTAGATATCACTGAATATTATAAGAAGCATTGCCTATCCGGGACAAGTAAAAATGCGATTTAGACTGTAGTGCTACCGGGCCCTCAGATTTCCAGACCTTGCGATACACGATAGAAGAGAGAGTCGACTACAAATCCGAGCAGAATGATATTTCCAATGAGTGTGGTGTCGAGGAACAGACGTTTGCAATCAGCGGGTACGTCGATGTCGGTTTTCCAGAGCCGATTCAGAAGCAGGAACGCCGCGATGCTCATGGCCAAGAAGAAAGGCCAGCTATGTCCGTTCAGAAATGCCCCGTACGAGACGAGCGAAAGAAAGAGGAGGGCCGTGATGGTGCAGACGACCAACGTGTGCGCTCCAACGAGGAGAGCAGGCGAATGGAGACCAATTTTCACGTCGTCGAGTTTATCCTGCGAATTGGATTCAGCCGTGATTCTGAACCGCTGGGAGAGAATACGCACTTGGTGCTGATAGACCGTTTCGTACGTCAAAGTCCAACAGCAAGCCCCGATGTAGACAGGGACGAGGACGTGCCAGTTGATTGTTCCTACCATATCAGCCCAGCCCATGAATACCCCGATCTTGAACATGATTCCCTGGATCACGCTATGATTCGACCACATGCAATGAAGAGAGGATTTCAACTGACCAGTGGGACAGGAGCAAGGTTGGTCCAACGCTGAGATGTTTGTATAAGTCTAGTGGAAAGCTCAGAACCTGAGGTTTGCGACCGACCTTGCAAGTCGGGTAAATAATGTAGAGAGGCCAGACGGGGATGGAAACGTAGAGGCTGCCCGGAATACGGGTGAGAAATACAGGTCGACTTGTCTCGGCAAACGCTTACGCAGGTTTGCTCAAGAAACTGAATGCGCAGAACACCCCGACGAGAACTTGAACTGAAAAGAATAGCCAAGCCCGTTTCAGCGAAACAGCACCACGCGGAATCGGGCGAAGGCGGGTCCGCTCAACCAACGCATCCACGTCTTCGTCGAGGATGTCATCGATAGTCATGATCTGCGCCTGGGGTAAATAGGAGATCCAACCAAGTCAGCCACGATAACGTACGAGGGACTTGATTCCGAAGCACAAGGGGATGTATTCGGCTGCGCGCAAAAGCGCCTGCAAGGCGGAAATGCTCGTGTTGGCACGGTAGGCCATGGATATGGACCAGGCTGGAGCGTGATTCAGCGCGGCCAAAGTAGGCTTGAATGATACACGCACCAGTCGGAAGCCAGACGACCCAGAAGCCGATGTTGTTGTGGAGCCTACAGAGCTCCCAAAAACCTTGAAGCTCGGTCCAGGTCGGCACATCCATTAGACCAGGTGGAGTCTTGTCTGTTTCGCTGGGAGCCGTGGCGAGGAGGGGAGAGGTTTCGTCGTTGCGAGACTCAACCATTGCGATTTGTTTACGGCCAAGGAATATCAGTCCTTTTGGGATACTCGCCGCAGATGTATACTGGTTTTGCAATCGCCCACGGCATTTGTGAGCCTTTTCGGGGACAGGATATCGATCGTCTTGAGTCGGTCCTTCAACAGCACAAGAGTAAGATCTGATCAAAGGAAGGAGCTGGGGACCAATCATCTAACACCAGGTACCCGCTTACTTTGATCTTGCGACCCATGTGTTTCGGGTCTGCCGAGCTGAGGGACACGCTCGCGACTGAAAAAGGAACGATGACAGGTCGTGAGAAGAATCCGCCGACTGAGATCAGACTATGTTGTGCACGCCTCATTTCCGACATCACTCAGAGTGCTTCTAAACGGGAGCGAACTCCGAGATTCCAGGCGGGAACATCAAGATCTGTTCAAGAGGATCGGAGCTCCCCATTCTTCCACCGAACCGCGTTTTTGAGTGCTCGGTAAACTTGGGCGCTGATTTTACAATGTCTCCCACCTTGTATCTGTGCAGAATAGACAAGATACCGGAATTGATAGCGAACATCTAGACTTGTTTCGACGACGATACTGACACTCCCACGCGAGCTGAGACGCCATCTCTCCAGACCAAACGGCCACCATCCCTGATCATATTGCGGCGCGACATGCAAAGGAACAGACCGCGTGCTGTGCCCGGAAACAGACCGACGGCACACACGCCCCGGTGACGAATACATTCCCTGATCCGCTTGCGTCGAATACGTCAAGTTTCGAGCGGTCGCCTGATGTCCTCTATTCCCCGTGCGGAATTAGCGCGCATTCGGATGAAACGGTGGCGAGATCTGGGTGCTTGGAGATTGATCAGATTTCGAATATAACCCGGCCCTCAGTGATGTCGTGCCCCGTCGCATTCCGACATGTCTGACCTGCAAGAGAAGATAATCGAACTCGGATTTCAATTGTCGGCCCTCTGATCAAGCCCCGTGTGTGAGATTCTGATTTTCTTGGTAGATTTTCCATCAAGCTGTACTGGGTCGCCGCCTCCGCTTGGTGGTTTTACGAGTATTTCCTCACCTTTGATGACGAGGTCAGTTATCACTGTGTTCTCTGCATGACTGCTCATCCACTGGTCAGGTTAATTATGCTTGGAAGGGCAGAAAGACGCCGGTTTTCTGGCTATTTATCTTGGCGAGCTCCCCCGATTGGGTCATTTCGAATGCTGCTAATGTCCCTCGAAGAATCGCTATCTCGCTCCCTGCTACATTGTGATCACGCTCTTTGCCTACTTTTCTCCACAATGGACGCTGGGTGTTTGCAGTCGATACGGATTCATGGAGACGTTTGAGACCGTCACACTCACGACCACTGCCCAGCTATTCATCGCCCTCCGGTAAAGAGTTTGCTGCTCCCGATTTCTCTGCTTGCTGACTAGAGCTAGAGTGTACGCTATCACCGCGAAACATCAATTATTCCCCGCCTTCACGATCCTGGTCCTCCTTGCTCAGTGGGGAATCGCGATATATGCCATGTCGCAATCGAGTCTGGGAACTGACCAAGTAGCTCTCCTGCTCCCAGTCCGCCGTGACATCGATTCCTCGGTGGCGGCAACGATACCCGCTTTGCCCGTTTTGCCAACGATCGATCCATATCATAGTGAGTCGATCGTATAGACAGCATTTCCCGCGCCCATTTCTCATATCTGAAATCCAGTCTGCATTTTCATCTCGACACTCACTGTGACACCGTACGTGAAAGCCTTCCTGGGCCTGGCCTTGGCGTACGATACCATCGCCTTCCTCGTGATCTTCGGTGTCACACTGCGCCGCCAGCGCTCGTACAAGCTCTTGCCCATCATCCAAGTCATTCAGCGGGATGGGATCATGTACTTCCTCATCCTCTTCAGCTCGAACCTGCTCTGGGTGCTGCTAATTCAATACGCTCCGGTATGTGCGACGGTCTTAACCTATCCTTGTCTGCTGATCGACCGAAAATGATGCAGCCAGCCCTCAAGTTCCTTCACAACCAGCCGGCCATGCTGTGAGATATCTATTAAAGTCCAGCTATGCTCTTGGACTGACTTTATATGTGCAGTGTTTCGTCGGTGATGATAACCCGCATCACATTGAATCTGAAGAAGGCAAGCCAGTCGCAGACGGTGATTTCATGGGGCGTGCACACATTTGAAGCAACGCCGTGGCAAGCGCTGGGATCGAATGCCACTGAGCTTAGCACATTCCGGGCAGCAAGGAAGAGGTCAAACAACGAGGGCTCCGAGACTATGTACTAATCAGTTAATATTTTGCTATTTATTTATTGCTATTTAATGCATGATTCCGGGGCAGATTTCAGGCGAACCAGGGCGAACCCAACTCCTCATATGTACTTAAAACACTGGAAAATCCTCCGCATGCATTAAGTGTGCCTGTGTGATCTACGGTTCTGCGTAAGGATTAGAGTAAAAGACGCTCAAGGAAGTAGAAATATATAATCTACTGGTGAAAAGAAACCTGACTTTCGTCAACACAGTCACGTGTCGTCAGCCCGCGTAACTCATCGACCGGCCACGTGAGCTCTGAACTTGTGTATACGTCACGTGAGTGTTCAGAACAGGATTGCATCCAAGGCTTCAGGACATTCTTGCAACCCCAAAATAAATACGCAAGATTACTGATGCGTGAAAAATTGCGCGTGAGTGCCCCAAGGTGCGTTGGTTTCTTAGCCGCACATTTTGTGGTGGTTGAATGCGTGCGCACGTCCATCGCGGGACGCCGAAACAGGATGTCAGATGAAGTATGGCGGAACAAAGCGGAGCATCGTTTGATGAAGAATCTGATCCGCATAGGTTCCGTCCTTTCACCGTGGAGCGGTGATGTAGATCAATCAAAGTCCTTGTTTTTTCGGGGATCATCCTGCCTGTTTCAAGTGCTCTTGTTCTCAAAATGATTATATGTTACATGCAGTGAATACAAGTACAACGGTCCGAGTGATTTCTTCCCCACATTCACATTTATCGCATTCCGAGGTGGTCTTTGCACAAAGCAGGCTGTGCGCTCGCCGGCACCCATGCCTGACATCCTTGCACAGCTCCGAGACACGGGCACATGACCCGCTGGTCCACAGTACGGACCGCGTGCGCGCCATTGGGATTGCTGTTGGCGTCGACCTGGAGGACTACCGACTCGACATAGCGCGCCAGCCAGCCAGAGTTCCCTGGTTCGTGGTATACCGGACCGGTGGTCACGACAAGCGCGGCAGGCGCCGCATTGTACAGCGAGGCGATGAGCGCCTCGAGCACGAGGTCGGTGGTGATCTGCACGGAGCGGTATATATCCCCGGCGATGGTGTTGGGAATGCGGAATGACGCGACGGCGGTCGGCCTCTCGGCGTTTCGCTCTTCTGGAGGAAATGTCAGCTGTTGAGTGCATTCAGCTCGCTGATGAATATTTTACTGACCCCACTGGACGTAGAGCGTCCACCCGGAACATTGATCCCGGTTATACACACGGTACTTGATGCTGGCGAAGAACGAATAGCCCGGCGAATTGTCGATGCGTGCAAGAAATTTGCTCTGCGTGACAGGAAAGTCGGGTGGAAGTTGACTCGAAGTCATGCCCGCCCGGACCTCCTGCTCTCTGCGGCGCAAGGCAGTCATGTACTGGGCGAGGAGCTGCTCGACGGTGCTGATGGAGTCGACGAACGTGCCATTGGGACGCGGGAAGCGACTGACGAGGAGAGTCATCTGGGATGGATCGGGAGGGTGGCTGGAGGATGGGAGGCTCGGTGTGGGCTGTTCTGCATCGCTGCGAGCGCGGGATATAAAACAGAAACTGGTGCGCTATGGCCCTCGAGACTGCCCGCCAGATTGGGAAATGGGCTATCCGCTCACGTACTAACCTGTCAAAATCAGCCAAAGCGCGAAGAAATAAACAATGTGCCGTTAGGATTACCACATTGCACAAAGCAAAGCGATGAGTTGGAAGTAGATGGGAGAGGGAGTAGCTTGGTAAACCGGGTAGTTGTAGCGGGGGCTTCATTGTTCTCGAGATTGGTGGTGGATCAGCGTACGGAATGAGGGATCAGTGCGGTTTCCCACCATCCGCACGTCACGTCATTTTCCTCCGAGCAGATGAGCAAAAGTAGCTTCTATATTCAATCCCCCTTCTGTTCAAGCCAAGCGCTCAAACGAGTCTGAGCACTGAAGAAAACTACCATCAAAGAGACAAATTGTAAAACAGCATCCGGTCGAGAAAGGTTCAGACAGCGAGAAAGTCCAGGACGTGACAGCAGGCAATAGTGCCGTGGACAAGTTTCCTTTGCAATGTCGCTGAGCTCGATGGGTTCCAGTAAAGCCAGGGCCCGAAAGAGGGATGCGCCCAGGTTTGTAATCATTGAAACCGATTTCCCCCTGAGACTGACTCGAGGCCGTTCGGGAGGTAGACTGATCCTGAGCAAGTGAATGACTGATCAGATGAAGCCCCGGGACTCAGTCTCACGTGAGACAATGATCCACGACGTCATTTAATTCTTGGATGCGCACTTCACTCATCCACTTCACGTAGTTGCTGGTACTCGCTGGCAGCATTAGTCTTTCTTTACTAGCAAGATATTCAGTGATGTACCGTGTCTGGAATGTCGGCGTCGACGGTCGACCCCAGTAGCCCTCCCTAGCTTCTTCCTGATTCGCATCGCTCATTTTCGACATGATAGAATCATGGGCATCGGTCGGAGGCCATGAGCAAATGCCGTAATGTGTCAACCCTCTCAGATAGTCACGTCATGCTTCTCGTTTGTGGTAGGCAGGGCTGATCTCTTGTCGGCCCCGCCGTCGACACTCAGGCGGTGGCCGACGTGCTTGTACTCACGGGAAAACGACTGCACAGGTGTCTGCGACGAGTTCCTCTCGTAGGAGGTTTGCAGCAGATCGTCGTGCGCTCCGCTCATCAAGCTTCTCATTTTCTTTGAATTGCGCTTTACTAGAACTTGACAGATGTCTGGACTTTCCTAATTGGGCTCGTCATCTCGAGGGCCATAGCGCAGGAACGCCCAGTTATATACCCCCGCCTCGCGGCCATGAAGAGCCACCAGCTTCCTCTGCTGCCCCAGATGTCTGTCCTCGTCCAACGCTTTCCAGAGCCCCGCACCACGTCGTTCGCCGACGCGAGTGGTGCCAATGAGATCCTCGTGACTTACATGACCGAACTCAGGCGCACCGAGTTCGAAATCAATGTATTCATAAGCCCCGCCTCCGGAGGTGTCTCTAGCCGCCTACCACACGCCTTTCCGGAAACTACAGCCGTTTTCCGGGACCGCATCTTCACGCAAGGGATGTCCTTCGCAATCGACATCGCGCGGGGCGAGTACACGCAAGACCGCTGCACTGGGTGGACGCTCAGCGTTCAATGGGGTAAGCACAGGCGCGGCAACAGACCCACGTACCATGATGGCTGACTGCTGCTGCTCTCTAGACGAGCGTGGTGCCACTGCCGTCCCAGTCGCCTCCTTCCGCGTGCTCCACTCCATCACCAAGGACGTTCACCGCGCGGTGAACATCAGCACCGACCTCGTCCTCGGGGCCCTTATCCGCTCCCTGCGCAGCTCCGCGCTCTTCTTCCTCGATTACTGCCTTGGCCCAGTGCAAACCCAGAGCCTGTTCATGCCTCCGGGTGCCTGGGAGTCGTGCTGCGAGCAGTCGGTCGTCCTGTACCGCTACCGGCCAGCGCAGGAAAACGCAACGGCGGGGTCGGGCAAGATAGTTTCGGTGAAGACCATTACGTCACGGCTGATGCGCCCTTGTGAGCGCGCTGGGTGTCGGTCGTTTGTGCCGTATAGCGTGCATCCGAGTCGAGCCTTGTGTGGGAGGCACTTGTAGCGGGGAGGAGTGGATGGATAATGAGAGAGCAATTGTAATTGTATGTAGCCAGCGGACTGCACTGTGTATCCGGATCGAGAACAAGTATGGAGGTCGAAAACTACATGCTGATAACCGAGTCTATATATCAATGATACGCCTCGGCAAGTGATATAAGATCAAATGTTGAGTGATTGCGACCCCCGGGACCACCTTCTGACTAGAGCATAAGTTCAAACAATGTATGTAGTAGACTAGAGCATAAGTAAAAACAACGTTTTTAATTACCAATCCCCGTCTGCTACTAAATCATCTTCCTCGTCCGAAAACCATGCATACAAGCTCTCAGGCTCCTCTTCGACAGGGCCGAGATCTGGCTCAATTTCATTGAGCATTTCACCGAGTCTTGCATAATGTTGGGGATCTGAGAATAAACATTGTCAGAGACGGATGCAAAAGCTTCGGAGGAAGAGCACTTGCCTAATCCAGCACCCTGATTGACGCCGCCCATGTACGCGCCAGGCCCAACAACGTCTTCACCTCCTCGCAGCTCCTTCAGGTTCGGGAGGACCTCAATCTCGTCTGGATACTCGTTGGACGCCATTTCTAATGCCCGGGTCCAGTGTGCACTCTGATGCATCACGTGAAGCTCATTGAGCTTGTTGAATTCGGACAGTAGTCGTCGATACACCTCCCAACAGCTCTTCCGATTAACCGGAGGCTCTCCAATGTCCCGATATATCTGGGAGATGAGAACCTCGAAATCCAATGGAACGAGCTGGAAAATCTCGTGGTCGGGAGGCGCATACATGTCACGAACCTTCTGAATCCCGACAGGATCAGCTTTGATCTGAATTGAACAATTTAATGAAAAATACAATCCTTTCAGTGAGACCATCCATGTACCTTGAAGTCGAGAATTGCGTAGTCTTCGGGAAATTCGAACATGTGGCTGGGGACACCATTCGGAAGAATTTTGTTGCGGTCATGTCGTTTGGCAGTATTATTGACGCGATTTCGGTAGTTGTCTAGTTCTGCCTGTAGCCACGGAATAAAAACCCAGCGGAACACGAGACTTGAGTGAAAGTTTTCAGCATCAATCAAAGGAAGATAATTGGAGATACTCACGCTTCAAGAAGAACACCAGGATCATACCATCCTTGATTCACACCAAAATCGAGGATATCCTCAAAGCCTGGTGTGAATCGGCGACGCATCTGGCTCCAAGTAATCTCTGGCTTGACAATCTTCTTCTCGCGCATCCAGCGATGTTGTGATGTTCCAACCAGAGAGGGATCTTGATAGTGTCGAAGCTGAGTGTGTCCGTTAGCAAGCCCAACGTTCTCTGAGCCTGGATCACTCTGAGACACAAGTGGCATAACTTAACATGCCAAATAATGAGACAGGTGCGATAAAAAAATAAATTGGGAATCACATACCTCCAAGATTCTCGATCACATCAAGATAGTAACTAAGAATAAGTCGAGGATTGTTATTGTTCCACCAGATCCTCATCCAATGAATGAGACCAAGGAAAGGATCGATGCTGGTGTGAAGTGCAAGACCGAACTTGTACTTCCACTTGTCATGTTGGTCTACAGCCCAGATATCATTAGCACCAGCAGCCCAGAAGCGCTTGCGTTTGAAATGGCGCTGTCGGCGTTCTCGGACTAAATCTGGCTCATAGACACGAAAATAGTGCATCACTGTCTCACTACATGATGATCCATCAGGTCTGGGAGAGCACCAAGAAATTTTTGACGCACCGTGCAACCCGGATGTTCTCCTCATGAAAGAGGAGGCTGACCATCTCTCGACCTCCAGCCTTTGGATAAGTGATGCAAAGTTTGGAAATCGGAGTCACAATAGATTCAACCGTGTGACCTTGCGCTCGAGCTCGAATATACCCCAACTTCTCACGAATTTTACGGAACGATGCGATTCTGAGTTGAGTTTTAGAGAAAAAAATTCGCAAAATTCTTGATAAGATAATGACTCACTCCAGTCCATACTTGGAGAGATCAATATGATGTTTCTTGAGGAGAGCAAGGATAGCAACATCGGACTTATTTTGCTTCCAGTACTTAGCAATGAATGGTTGAAGGTCCTCTGCAGGAGCTAGAGCACAGTTCGTCAGATTAACAACACGAAAATCATGTATATAGATATAACACACGGATGGGCTTGTGCTGATTCCGCCCCATGGCAGCGTGGTCTGAGATGACAGAACAAAGAGCAGTGTGACGACAGTAGGAAGAGTGGGATTAACCTGAGAATGCATGAGTATAATGTTCAGTCTTTATAATGAGCTAGCCTTGCCGCAATCCGGATCTATGGAGTGCTCAGGAGAGGAGCACTTCACAGGCAATCGGGTGATTACGGAGAATGGGAACGGGGAATGTTAATGATGTATGCATGGCAAAAATGCCGCTCGGAGCATACAGGAGAATTATTGGTCTCCAAATGATGGAGGCAAGCACAAAAAGTATATCTGAGCGCGCATAATCTCATATTATCTGCATGTGTTGATCCGTAATGATCTTCTGCCTATTTTTATTCATTTTCACGTTGGTCACATCCGGATGTTGAGAGATATCGGGAGAAGTCGGAAACGAGGTCAGAGGTGAGGCATGGACCATAAAATGTGAGAGGGATATTCACTTCAGGACCATGGTCAACTCGCCTTCCTTCCAATTTTCTTCGATGTCAAACGCTGGTGTGCTCTATGCCGAATTCACCGATGATGCCACGGTTGATATTCCTTTTGAATGTCGATCTGGCCGTCGTTGCAAATCGACTTTGCGCACTGATACTGCCAAAGGTCTCATAGTCATGCCAGGCCAACCCCGATTCACAGTCGAGAGTGCGTCTCAGGTATCAGGCAGCCGGGTTGTTTGTGAAGCGTGCTATGTATATTATGATGGGAAGCGCACCAGTACACGAGGAGGTACGCTTCTCAGTTGACAAATTTTCTTTTCTGATTCTTCCTACTTAGCACCAGGTCCTTCAGCAGCACGTCCTCTGCTGCCGCCACCTGCCACTCCAAACCTGGAAGCTGAACGAGAGGCAATCCGACGCCAGAACATTGAGGGGAGGCTCGGTGGTATGTGTTGGCTTTTATTCGATGTATTTTCCTTCTGACATCCAGCAGACAAGTCTCTTGGAGGTCAAATTGCCCCCATTGGCGCTGGTTTGATGGCTCCTCCAGCAATAATTCCGCAAAGACAGAGTAGTGGCTCATCAGGTTTGTGCATTTTTCTTAACCAAACCGAATCTATCAAATGTTTTTATTTATTTCTAGTCCCACGAATTTCTGTGCCTAATCAGTTGGCGGTTGGTCAACTGGCTGTGGCTGCTCCAAATTCTGCTGCGGCTGCTGCGCAGTTCAACAGTCAGGGATATTCCTCTGCACATGCTAGCTATGGGTCTCAATATTCTCTGTGGGGAAATATGGCTTATTCTGGTCTATCTCGGGAGTTTCTCACATTAAATATTGGTGTTCGCCACGAATTTCCTGGGAAACCAAACGGTGT